CTTTTGCACCAGCTGCATGAAAGTGAGGCTCATTTTAAAAAACTGTGTAAGAGTGCTTTCTGTTATCGAGGGCCACTTAGAGAGGTACAGGCCAAAGACCTTGCCGCTCGACTTGCTTGTTACAGCTGACAACTAGAACACAAACAGACTGATAATAATAGCAGTGGGATCAGAGAGGAGGACCATGGTTCAGAGGAAAGAACACAGGGCACCATGGGATATAGAACACAGGTCACCATGGGATACAGAACACAGGTTACCATTAGATACAGAACACAGGTTACCATGGGATACAGAACACAGGTCACCATGGGATACACAACACAGGTCACCATGGGATATAGAACACAGGTCACCATGGGATACAGAACACAGGTTACCATGGGATATAGAACACAGGTCACCATGGGATACAGAACACAGGTTACCATTGGATACAGAATTCAGGTTACCATGGGATACAGAACACAGGTCACCATGGGATACAGAACACAGGTCACCATGGGATACAGAACACAGGTCACCATGGGATACAGAACACAGGTCACCATGGGATATAGAACACAGGTCACCATGGGATACAGAACACAGGTTACCATGGGATACAGAACACAGGTCACCATGGGATATAGAACACAGGTCACCATGGGATACAGAACACAGTTATACAGGGATACAGGGATACAGTTACCATTAGAGACTGAAAAGAGCCCAGGTTTCAGTGAGAGAACACAACGTTTCACACTGCCTTGAATGGGCCAATGTGCAGAGTACCAAAAAGAGAGGAGAGACTAGTAGCACTCCCCTGCTTGGAGGAACACACAGACAGACGTATGTTTGACACCCCCCCCCCCCCCACCACACACACACACACACACACACACCACACACACACAGATTTGTCATGGTAAAACCCTAGCCCTCCTTGCAGGTTGCCAGCTCTCCTCTCCTCCTCCTCCTTTCCCTGCAGTAGTACAGTGCTGTATGTTCTCTCTCTCTGGGACCCAGCCTTAGTCACCGACCATGACAGCAACATAAACAAATAAACCCATCTGCAGAAGAAGACCCTCTTTCATGGCACTCTCACCCTGCCCCTACCCCCTGCGGAGGGAGGGATGGAGGGAGGGGGTGGAGAGAGAGAGAGAGAGAGAGAGAGAGAGAGAGGATGGCAGATTAAGTATTCTATCTCTAGCCCAGTGATCCCTCCATCTCTCCGCTTCCATACCTGGGGGTCTGAGGTAAGTCTGAATCTGCATCACAAATGGCACCCTTTTCCCTATGTAGTACAGTACTTTTGACCAGGGCCAATATTCCTTATATAGTTCTCTACTTTTGACCAGAGCCTATAGTAGGGAATAGGGTACCATTTGGAGCACATCCTGAGTCTGGGCTGCAGTGGAAAAGAGTCTGGTCATATAAGCCTTGTCTAGGTGCAATTTCCTGCCTCTTCAGGAGTGACAGGCCGATGCAGGCTGTGGTTAATTGATGGGGCTATAAATTAACACGCAGAGCTGTCCATCCAGCCACACACACACACGAACGCATGCACGCATGCACACACACACACACCACACACATATTCACACACTGGTCCATTGTCTGGCCTGCCTGCTAGCCGGTCAGCAATATGGCGGGATGGGGAGGGGTGGGCCTAAATATAGTCGACTGGGACCCTGAAGGACTCGTAAATTACCCCCCTCCACCCCCACCATCCCTCCCCATGGCTGGGCTACCTGGCCTGTCAGCCCCCCACCCATCCACCACAACCAAGCCAACCCTCTCCATGGCTGGGCTACCCGGCCTGTCAGCCCCCCACCCCACTCCAACACCCCAACCCAGACCAGCCAACCCCCAACCCGGCCTGTCAGACCCTGGCTGATGGATTTACTTGGCACTTGAGGAATGACAGCAATATAAAGTATAAATTCCCAGGAGGAAAAAACTATCCATGTTTACCCCTCTGTTTGTTTACAACGATCGAATTGTACCACAGTGAGGAGAGAGGGAGAGAGAGAGGTGTGTGTGTGTGCCTGCTTGCGTGCGTGTGTGTGTGTGTGCGCGCGTGCATGTGTGTGTTTATAAAAAAGCTCAGCTCGCTCCGCTCTCAGCCCCGGAGGACAATAAATCACTTAGTTATAATTGGCGGGCGGTTACATGCATCATTGGAAAAGTTAAACCATTAAACGCCAAACCTTGTTAGGGCTTTTCAGTGGGGACGTGGGGAGGCCCAGCGGCCCCTCTAACCTGGGAGAGAGAGACTCTAAAGTGGCCACTGTTTCACCCCAGACAGACCTGTCACTACCATGGAGTGGAGCAGACACACTCACACACACACACACACTTTCTTTTTATCCTGTCCAGGGATGTTGGACAAGGTAAGAACCACCTGTCTAGGAGAGGTGGAGGAGGGAGGGAGGGATGGAGGGAAAGGGGTGCGGGAGCTTATTCAAGCCCAGTAAGGTGAGAGCGTGGCTGGGTTGCAGACACAAACACAGCCCCTGTCTGGGTCAAGCCCACACCACAGCACCACCACTCATGCTTTCCTCCATTCTGTATTGTGTCCTACACAGGAGGGAAAACTCAAGGGGCTGGAGGGGTGGGGGTCCATTAGCCAGTCCCTATGGTTACCTGGGTTAACAGGGACTTGTTACCTGGGTTACCTCTAGTACTACAGGCACATACTAATATTAAATAGAAAACCATGGATCAAAGGCAAGTAGTCTGGCTGATACCAAACTCAAAGCCCTCCTGACTTCAGTCTGGAGAAGCTGTTTGATGTTGTCGGCACGATGCGTCGACAATGAAGGACATTGTGCTTTTGACTGGCTGGTTTTATACAACGGGTGGGTCTAATCCTGAATGCTGATGGGTTAAAACCGCATTCCATCCGGTGTCTATTCCACAAGTTACCACCGGCTAAATCTATGAACTATAAAAAGCATCCAGACATATGTGTCGATAACGAAGGACATAGTGCTTTGGACTGGCTGGTTCTGTACAGCACCCGTGCTCCGCCCCCTTCCATTACAACGGTTGGGAGTTTCATATCCAAATCCAGGTCTCAAAACAAAACGTCTGAAAGAACCAATCAAAAATCTCTGAATTTCTGGGCGAATATTGCACCAACCTCCCTCGCTGTATACCACGTGGGTCGCGTCAGCCAGGCTACGCAGGAACAGCTTCAGAGAAGAGAACACTTGAATAATAAGGTTCTTACACTGCCAAGCCAAGTTCAATCAGTTCAGATCAGTTCAAGATCATTGGCTAACCAAGCAGTTCATTATTTGGATAAAATCTACTCCACAAAACAGACATACTGTTAGTGGACCAGCTACAGTACACTTTATTTTCTGTTACTGATGTGTTGACTAAAACCTGAGATCGGACAGCTTATCCCCTGGCCTTGCCTGTCAGGTGCACCTTGTACTGGGGACAATAAAAGGCCACTCTAAAATGGGCATGCTGACTGCAGGAATGTCCACCAGAGCTTTTGCCAGATAATTAAATTTTAATTTCTCTACCATAATTGAATTTGGCAGCACGTACAACCGGACTCACAACCGCAGACCACGTGTAACCACGCCAGCCCAGGACCTCCACATCCAGCTTCTTCACCTGTGGGATCATCTGAGACCAGCCACCCGGACAGCTACAGCTGATGAAACTGTAATAAAACCCTTTTGTGGGGAAAAACTCAATCTGATTGGCTGGGCCTTGCTCCCCAGTGGGTGGGCCAGTCTCCCAAGTGGGTGGACCTATGCCTTCCCAGGCCCACCCATGGCTGCGCCCCTGCCCAGTCATGTGAAATCCATAGATTAGGGCTTAATGAATTTACTTCAATTGACTGATTTCCTTATATGAACTGTAACTCAGTAAAATCGTTGAAATTGTTGCATGTTGCGTCTATATTTTTGTTCAGTAAATGTCTTTGAGTAACGACGAGTGGTATACTGTATATACCGTATACCTGGGTATTTGGAAAAAGCCACGGGATGGTTTTTCAATACCGTCAATACCGTTGAAACCATTTCTTTGAAGGTTGAATATTTGTAGCTACTTTTTAAGTAAATACCTGCAGTCAACTTGTGCAATACGTTAGGAGATAAAGAACATTGCATTCTTCATTTCACTTGTCACATTATTACGAAGCTTACGGTAGTCCCCCAGTCATGTGTCACGTGGTGTTTGTTTACGAACACACAATGACGAGAGACCGGAGCCTTGTGAGTTACTCACTGTTGTGCAGCATGTGCCAGATGATCTAATTACAGTATGGAATTCACAACTAAATGTTTGCCAGCTAGATATCTTATAACTATTAAGTTAACTGTCTAAAATGTGCTAAATGCTCTACAGTTGTGCATTTGGTTTGCTAATTTAGTAGCTAGTTAGCTATCTAGCTAATAATATAATATAATATGCCATTTAGCAGACGCTTTTATCCAAAGCGACTTACAGTCATGCGTGCATACATTTTTTGTGTATGGGTGGTCCCGGGGATCGAACACACTACCTTGGCGTTACAAGCGCCATGCTCTACCAGCTGAGCTACAGAGGACCACAAGTGGTTAAGTGGTTAGCTAAGTGGTTAGCTTCTTCCAAAATCAAGCATTCACTTGGTAACAGCAGAGAATCCCCTCCTGGAGCAAGAGCGTTGCTGGCTAATATTTGTGTTGTGCGTGCAGAAAACTCTGAGTAGCATTTTTAAGTTACTATTTAGTTAGCAGTATCTATGTGATTAAACATATACTTGTTAGCATTGCTAACCTTCGGATTACAGAGTATCATTGGGGTTTGAAAACAGCGGCCCATGTGTTCAGTGCCGGTATTACCGAATATCCCGGTATGGCACAAGGTCGGTATGAAGGTATGACAATCTGGATACCGCCCAAGCCGAGTTTCAATGCTGGACTTTGAGTCGCAAGGTTGCACTAATTAGTGTGTATACTCCCATTGTACCCTCCATTGTGTGTACTTAGTATACCCTACTACGTGTGTACTCAGTGCGCCCTACGTAGTGTACACTCACAGTGAGGGCTCTCCTTGGCGCCGGCCTTCAGCAGTAGTTTGGCTATGGGGGTGTTGTTGGTCATGATGGCGATGTCTAGCGGAGTTAACCCTTGGCTGTTGGGCGTGCTGAGGTCCAGCTCCTCAGCTGTGTACTGGTAGAGAAGGATCTGGACGGCATCTAGATCCTGCTGCTCCACCGCCTCAAACAGACACTCACTACCTTGCATACTCTGGAGGAGAGAAGAGGAGTGACACACACACACGTCAGAATACAAACATCATCATCATCATTGTCGTCGTCATCCTCATCACCATCATCAATCATCAACAGCACTAAACCAAGTGAATTTTGCTACAGCTGGCCATGCTTTCCATCTGGCTACCACTAACCCGGCCACCAACTCTGCACCCTCTGCTGCAACTTGCCCATGCCCCCCCCGCTTCTCCTTCACACAAATTCAGACAGCTGATGTTTTGAAAGCGCTGCAAAATCTGGACCCCTACAAATCAGCTGGGCTAGACAATCTGGACCCTTTCTTTCTAAAACTAGCCGCCGAAATTGTCGCTACCCCTATTACTAGTCTGTTCAACCTCTCTTTCATAACGTCTGAGATCCCCAGAGATTGGAAAGCTGCCGCGGTCATCCCCCTCTTCAAAGGGGGTGACACTCTAGATCCAAATTGCTACAGACCTATATCCATCCTGCCCTGCCTTTCGAAAGTATTCGAAAGCCAAGTTAACAAACAGATCATCGACCATTTCCAATACCACCGTACCTTCTCCGCTATGCAATCCGGTTTCCGAGCTGGTCACGGGTGCACTTCAGCCACGCTCAAGGTCCTAAACGATATTATAACCGCGATTGATAATAGACAGTACTGTGCAGCCGGTCTTCATCGACCTGGCCAAGGCTTTCGACTCTGTCAACCACCGCATTCTTATTGGCAGACTAAATAGCCTTGGTTTCTCAAATGACTGCCTCGCCTGGTTCACCAACTACTTCTCAGATAGAGTTCAGTGTGTCAAATCGGAGGGCCTGTTGTCTGGACCTATGGCAGTCTCTATGGGGGTGCCACAGGGTTCAATTCTTGGGCCGACACTTTTCTCCGTGTATATCAATGATGTCGCTCTTGCTGCTGGTGACTCTCAGATCCACCTCTACGCAGACGACACCATTTTGTATACATCTGGCCCTTCATTGGACACTGTGTTAACAAACCTCCAAACGAGCTTCAATGCCATACAACAATCCTTCAGTAGCCTCCAACTGCTCTTAAACACTAGTAAAACTAAATGCATGCTTTTCAATCGAACGCTGCTGGCACCCGCCCACCCGACTAGAATCACCACTCTCGACGGGTCTGACCTAGAGTATGTGGACAACTACAAATACCTAGGTGTCTGGTTAGACTGTAAACTCAACTTCCAGACTCACATAAAGAATCTCCAATCCAAAGTTAAATCTAGAATCGGCTTCCTATTTCGCAACAAAGCCTCCTTCACTCATGCTGCCAAACATGCCCTCGTAAAACTGACTATCCTACCGATCCTTGACTTCGGCGATGTCATTTACAAAATAGCCTCCAACACTCTACTCAGCAAATTGGATGTAGTCTATCACAGTGCCATCCGTTTTGTCTCCAAAGCCCCATACACTACCCACCACTGTGACCTGTAAGCTCTTGTTGGCTGGTCCTCACTACATGTTCGTCGTCAAACCCACTGGCTCCAGGCCATCTATAAATCACTGCTAGGCAAATCCCCGCCTTATCTTAGCTCATTGGTCACCATAGCAGCACCCACCCGTAGTCTGCGCTCCAGCAGGTATATCTCACTGGTCATTCCCAAAGCCAACACCTCCTTTGGCCGCCATTCCTTCCAGTTCTCTGCTGCCAATGACTGGAACGAATTGCAAAAATCTCTGAAGCTGGAGACTCTTATCTCCCTCAATAACTTTAAGCATCAGTTGTCAGAGCACCTTACCGATCACTGCACCTGTACACAGCCCAACTGAAATTAGCCCACCCAACTACCTCATCCCTATATTGTTATTTATTTTGCTCTTTTGCACCCCAGTATCTCTATTTGCACATAATCTCTTGCACATCTAGCATTCCAGTGTTAATACTATTGTAATTATTCTGCACTATAGCCTATTTATTGCCTTACCTCCATAACTTGCTACATTTGCACACACTGTATATATATTTTCTGTTGTATTTCTGACTTTATGTTTTTTACCCCATATGTAACTCTGTGTTGTTTTTTATTGCACTACTTTGCTTTATCTTGGCCAGGTCGCAGTTGTAAATGAGAACCTGTTCTCAACTGGCTTACCTGGTTAAATAAAGGTAAAAAAAATAAATTAAAAAAAATTAAAAAAACACACTTTCAAGAACTGCTGAAACCAAGGCAGACAAATCAACAACATTAAGTGGAGTTTCTGTATGATAATTGACGTGTGATAATTGGACCATAGAGAGGAGAGGTGACATGGCGACGGTACATGAGAGAGAGGCAAAGGAGAGTGAGAAAGTGAGAGAAGGAGGTAAAACTGCAGTGAAAGTGCTGAAGCTGTAACATTAAGGAGTATTCAACCGGGGTCCGCGGAGATTTTTAAAATCAATATCACTAACAGAATAAACGAATTTTTAATTACATACCTACAGTAGAAAAAATGAGAATATCTTATTTCTAATTATCTCAACTATTTCTGAACTCCTATTTTTGAACAAATTACACTAATTGGAGCCAATTACACTCACTGGAGTATCTGACATAGGCTTTGAAAAAGCACCCGCGAATTGGATATCATGCTGGTAAGCTTTCGTGACAACACATCGCTAACCTCTATCCAGCTAAACAGCTGCTCTTAGCGAAAATGTGTTTGGAGATACCATACCTTTTATAGATAATAGGCTATGTTGGAGTTTACACTTCATCTTCCAATTATAATGTGGGGAGGTCAAAATAATGAAAAACTGTTGATTACTTCTTCCTACCATGATCATTCACCAGACCAGACGTGTTTTTGTTGCTATCATTTGATTGGAGAGAGAGAGACACACATAGAGAGAGAGACACATAGAGAGAGAGAGAGAGAGAGAGACAGAGAGAGAGACAGAAAGAGAGAGAGACAGAGAGAGAGAGAGACAGAGAGAGAGAGATAGAGACACACAGAGAGAGAGAGACACAGAGAGAGAGAGAGAGAGAGAGAGAGAGAGAGAGAGAGATAGAGAGACACAGAGAGAGAGAGAGAGAGAGAGAGAGGAGAGAGAGAGAGAGAGAGAGAGAGAGAGAGAGAGAGAGAGAGAGGAAAGGTGAAGGAAAGTGAGAGAAAAGGGATGAAGAGAAGGAGGTAGCATTGCAGTGAAAGTGCTGAAGCAGTAATAGGGGACTTCTGTAGTTCTGGTACCGATTCCGACTGACATTTTGGCTTATAAATTGATCTGTGGACACTGTAGATCCAAATGGCTTGGATTACTATTTAGGCGCAAATCTACATTTAACAGGTGGGGAAACAGCGGCACTGTTGTTGGAGAGATGTCCAGTTTGCAGCTGAACATGCAACATAGAGAACACCAGCAAGGGGACCCTCAGCATCATGATATCTGAAGGGAAATAGAAAGGTGAATGCGGCGATCAAGTTGGTTCCACCATGCTAATCATAACCAAAATTGATAACGTAATCAGTGCTCTGTGTGTGACCGACAAGTATCTTTGATGAGGGGCCAGGAGCTGATCTACGCTGCCATGTCCATCAACGGGGGGCTGGCAAAGAATTTACCTCCAGCCTCACCTCTTGCCTGTCTCCGTTGATGGGGAGACCAGAATTAGGTAGGTTTAGTCTGACCTGTTCAAACTTCAACATAGTATACATTATGTTTGTTTGTCAGATATCACCTATCCTAACTGCCATTTGTAATAGAACAGTGACTGTGTTCACAGATGCATCTATGGAGTCAGCACTGGGAGACTTGCAAGGTGATGTGATGGAGTCCTGACCGACAGACAGGCTTGATACTGACGTCTCTGAATGGAGAGAGACCTGGCACTCAACACATCCACAATGTGGGACTGAAGGTATTTACCTATAATATAGTACAGCAGAAATGTCCAGTATTTGCAACACCCTTTTCATTACATGCGTCACTGATGAACTCTGCCTCAACTCTGCCTATTTCTACAGATGGACAGGACTGTAGATGCTTTTGGCAGACGCCAGCCTCTGACATTTGACGGGGAGACCATAATTGGGTAGGTTTTATCTGACCTCTTCAAACTTCAACATAGTACTGTTTGTGTGTCAGATATGAACTATTCTAACTAACTTCCATTGGTAATAGAACAGTGACTACAGTGGGGGGAAAAAAGTATTTAGTCAGCCACCAATTGTGCAAGTTCTCCCACTGAAAAAGATGAGAGAGGCCTGTAATTTTCATCATAGGTACACGTCAACTATGACAGACAAATTGAGCAAAAAAAATCCAGAAAATCACATTGTAGGATCTTTAATGAATTTATTTGCAAATTATGGTAGAAAATAAGTATTTGGTCACCTACAAACAAGCAAGATTTCTGGCTCTCACAGACCTGTAACTTCTTCTTTAAGAGGCTCCTCTGTCCTCCACTCGTTACCTGTATTAATGGCACCTGGTTGAACTTGTTATCAGTATAAAAGACACCTGTCCACAACCTCAAACAGTCACACTCCAAACTCCACTATGGCCAAGACCAAAGAGCTGTCAAAGGACACCAGAAACAAAATTGTAGACCTGCACCAGGCTGGGAAGACTGAATCTGCAATAGGTAAGCAGCTTGGTTTGAAGAAATCAACTGTGGGAGCAATTATTAGGAAATGGAAGACATACAAGACCACTGATAATCTCCCTCGATCTGGGGCTCCACGCAAGATCTCACCCCGTGGGGTCAAAATGATCACAAGAACGGTGAGCAAGAATCCCAGAACCACACGGGGGGACCTAGTGAATGACCTGCAGAGAGCTGGGACCAAAGTAACAAAGCCTACCATCAGTAACACACTACGCCGCCAGGGACTCAAATCCTGCAGTGCCAGACGTGTCCCCCTGCTTAAGCCAGTACATGTCCAGGCCCGTCTGAAGTTTGCTAGAGTGCATTTGGATGATCCAGAAGAGGATTGGGAGAATGTCATATGGTCAGATGAAACCAAAATAGAATTTTTTGGTAAAAACTCAACTCGTCGTGTTTGGAGGACAAAGAATGCTGAGTTGCATCCAAAGAACACCATACCTACTGTGAAGCATGGGGGTGGAAACATCATGCTTTGGGGCTGTTTTTCTGCAAAGGGACCAGGACGACTGATCCGTGTAAAGGAAAGAATGAATGGGGCCATGTATCGTGAGATTTTGAGTGAAAACCTCCTTCCATCAGCAAGGGCATTGAAGATGAAACGTGGCTGGGTCTTTCAGCATGACAATGATCCCAAACACACCGCCCGGGCAACGAAGGAGTGGCTTCGTAAGAAGCATTTCAAGGTCCTGGGGTGGCCTAGCCAGTCTCCAGATCTCAACCCCATAGAAAATCTTTGGAGGGAGTTGAAAGTCTGTGTTGCCCAGCGACAGCCCCAAAACATCACTGCTCTAGTGGAGATCTGCATGGAGGAATGGGCCAAAATACCAGCAACAGTGTGTGAAAACCTTGTGAAGACTTACAGAAAACGTTTGACCTGTGTCATTGCCAACAAAGGGTATATAACAAAGTATTGAGAAACTTTTGTTATTGACCAAATACTTATTTTCCACCATAATTTGCAAATAAATTCATAGAAAATCCTACAATGTGATTTTCTGGATTTTCTTAATTTTCATTTTGTCTGTCATAGTTGATGTGTACCTATGATGAAAATTACAGGCCTCTCTCATCTTTTTAAGTGGGAGAACTTGCACAATTGGTGGCTGACTAAATACTTTTTTCCCCCACTGTATGTGTGTATGTGTTCACCGAAACATGTATGGAGTCAGCACATGAATTGAATGGTATCAGTCAATATGGGGAGGGAGAAACCCTATGTATTCTGCACCAAGATCAGGGATCTCCTGTTGTATATGGGACACCACACAGGAACGTATGACCACTCTGACATGTTTGCCAAAGTAGCCCCATTCCCACCAGAAAAAATGCTGAAAGGAACAGTATCTGTATCGGCTGGGAATAACAATGAAAGGTGAAAGGTGCACATTGTTATATTAGCAGAGCAAATCTTCTATGGTATTATGTAAAGGGTTGTTTATTCTACATGGGCCTTTTACTACATTTGAAAGTTATCAAAACACTTAGTTTAGAATATCTATATAAATTCAGCAATTGCCTTCTTCTCATATTACTCTGAAGGCTACTGACCTATTCAAAGTTTCCTCCGGCATCTCACCACACATCTGCCTGGAGGTTTGTTTGTCGTGATAGAGTGGGGGGAAATAGCTACGGGCAATGTTCTGACAGATGGGTGTGTTTTAGTGGTGGCAAGGACACACCCAAGAAACACATAAAACCACACCTCCAAGCCAACTCACGCTTGGCTTCTGTTCACACACACACACACACACACACACACACACACACACACACACACACACACACACACACATCCTGACAGAGAGAGAGAGACAGAGATACAGAAAGAGAAAGAGAAAGAGAAAGAGAAAGAGAAAGAGAAAGAGAAAGAGAGAGAGAGAGAGAGAGAGAGAGAGAGAGAGAGAGGGAAAGAAAGAGAAAGAGAGAAGAGAAAGAGAAAAAATAAAGGAGTCAATAGGGAGAAATGATGGTACAAGAGAGATAAATGGCACATTCTGAAGGACACTGAAGGAAATCATCTCCGGGGGCCATTATGGAAGCAGCCTTGTTGTATTCTGTGCCTCTCGGTCTCCTCTACTCTTGGGCTTACAATCAGAGGGGCTGCCCCATAGTGATCCTATTAAATTACTCATATTCTAATTCCTAATTCTATGGGCTGCCCACTGTTCTAAAGAGATTATAACCCAATTTCAGGAAATGGGACAATACACACCAACCCAATCTGTATTGCTCCTAGTGTCCCAGAGACACACAGAGAGACCTCCAGCCTAGCCAGTCACTGTCTGAACCCAGAGTCCAGTGTCCGAGACACACAGAGAGACCTCCAGCCTAGCCAGTCACTGTCTGAACCCAGTGTCCCAGACACACAGAGAGACCTCCACCCTAGCCAGTCACTGTCTAAACCCAGTGTCCAGTGTCCGAGACACACAGAGAGACCTCCAGCCTAGCCAGTCACTGTCTAAACCCAGTGTCCAGTGTCCGAGACACACAGAGACCTCCACCCTAGCCAGTCACTGTCTAAACCCAGTGTCCAGTGTCCGAGACACACAGAGAGACCTCCAGCCTAGCCAGTCACTGTCTGAACCCAGTGTCCCAGACACACAGAGAGACCTCCACCCTAGCCAGTCACTGTCTAAACCCAGTGTCCAGTGTCCGAGACACACAGAGAGACCTCCAGCCTAGCCAGTCACTGTCTAAACCCAGTGTCCAGTGTCCCAGATACACAGAGAGACCTCCAGCCTAGCCAGTCACTGTCTGAACCCAGTGTCCCAGACACACAGAGAGACCTCCACCCTAGCCAGTCACTGTCTAAACCCAGTGTCCAGTGTCCGAGACACACAGAGAGACCTCCAGCCTAGCCAGTCACTGTCTAAACCCAGTGTCCAGTGTCCCAGATACACAGAGAGACCTCCAGCCTAGCCAGTCACTGTCTAAACCCAGTGTCCAGTGTCCCAGACACACAGAGAGACCTCCACCCTAGCCAGTCACTGTCTAAACCCAGTGTCCAGTGTCCCAGATACACAGAGAGACCTCAAGCCTAGCCAGTCACTGTCTGAAGACTGATGGGGTGACTCTACACTCAAGGAACCCCTGGAGTTCCTCAAGGAACCATTGCTAGTCAATAGTTCATATTTGCACCTTTGTTTAGTTGAGCAATTCTTGGAGGAATCTTGGAAGAATGTTTCAATGTAGCAAAGGGTTCCTGGAGGAACCCTGGACTGGAGGCGTGGCTTAGTAGGGGCCTGGCTTTCAGATATATATTTTTAGGCCAACTGTGGGAGTAAATGTAATTCCTGTTAATCTATTCTGTTGTATGGTCAACACATGTTAAGGTTGAAAACGGACAGTTTTGTAACATCAATGAGGCTGACAGAGATGTATGAGTTAATCAAAAGCCTATGCAAATCCCAAAGTTGGAATAGTTAGCACTTTATTACTATATGTAATCAGCAATGTTAATATTATTAATATTGTATTACAATATGCAATATGCATAAATATTTTTGAACTGGAAAGGTTCCCCCTATGGGCAATTTTTAGAACTCCATAAAGGTTCTTCCAGGTTCCTTTACATCTAAGAGTGTAGTAGGTCACAGTATAGTCCTCCTGGACACTTTGACCTGGGCTGGCTGGTATCATTTGATCTGATGTAAGATGATGACACATAACAGTCCCAGACAGATGCTCACCCATTCACACAAAATCCCACGCAAACACACGCACACAAATATGGCACGCACACACACACACACACAATCCCCAACTCACCGAGCCCTTGCGATGACCGTGGCGGTCTCCACGGCCGAAGAAGTAGGCATCCTCGAAGGAGGAGTGGCCTCCTTTGAGCTTCTCTGATAGGTTCCTGTACAGGCGCTTAGCGGCGCTGGGAGAGGCGGGGCCTCCCGAGCACTTCCTGGTTTGGGACAGCTGCAGGTTCTGCATCTGTTGAGTCATGCTGACAGAATAGAAGTTCCTAAGGAAGAGAAAAGTCATTTGAATGTGCAAGACCAATTTCTGTTGAGGACAGTAATCGTCTACATTTCTACCCAATTATACATTGGCCAACAATGAAGACAGTACAAATGGATGAGTTTGAAAATGGATGAGTTTCAGGTTCTGGACTTGTTGAATCATTCTGACAGAATAGAAGTTCCAAAAGGATGGGAGGAAAATATATTAGAAAAAATACCAAGGCACTCTTCATATCTGGTGTGAGTTAAAATGACTATTAAAGGACCACTGCAATCACACTATGAGGTTGGAATTATACCGTGAAATTGTGAATACTATTATAATGCCCTTTTAGTGTAAGAGCTGTTTGAAAAGACCGCCTGAAATTTCAGCGTGTTTTGGTAGGATGGACTTTTGGCCTCCCATGGTGTCATCACCATACGATAAATTAGTTAATAGACCAATAAGAAACTGACTTTCAAACCTCGACATTCAGCCGTGAGAGGGCTCAGTTAAGTGGAGCGCTCTTCAGAAACCATACATGAAAAAGAAACATTCTAGTGTTCCTCTATTCATTATCTATTCACTGTCACAGAAGACAGGCTAGCGAGACGACAACCATCATAATTTTTCCTCTGCCAAAACATAATTATCATTCACATAGCTACAGAGGGATGTGATGCTTGAATAAAAACATACTTAAGTTTTCCGATAGAATGGCTGCGTTTACACAGGCAGCCCAATTCTGATATTCTGCCACTAATTGGGCACAGAATAGAAATAATAAAAAACAAATGCTTCTAAAGATGGTTTATTTTTTGTCCTTTATGATTCTCGAGAGTATATGTTAAGTAAAGATGAATGCTCACTATAATTTCCAGGACCAATTAGTTTATCTTATAAATACATTTCTTGAATAAAGCGAGATTGATTAATTGACAGAGTGATTGATTAATTGGCTGACAATTAGTTTAAGTGTGCAAGTGAGGGTCCATATTGAACATGTTGAAGAAATAACCAAATGTCATGCCGAGCCTGAATGTCATTAAAATATCATCAAATATCATCAAATATTACACCAGGGACTGTGGGCACAGATATGGAACCTATCACATGACCAATTAGTGGCACTGCAGGGGAAAGTGTGTAAGTGTGTGTGTGTGTTTGTGTGTGTGTGCGTGCGTGCGTGTGCATGTGCTTGCGTGTCTGAGCATGTGTGTGCCTATGTGTGTGTCCCCACTAATTGAGGCGAGTGAACTAAAATATCCACAATTAGCACTCTTTCATGCTCACACACATACACTGCCGCACACTCACGACCGACCACAGAACCGTCACGTCTGTCCTTTCAGGGGTGTGTGAATTTAACGGTTGCGTCATCTCTCCATTTATCTATTGAAAGGTCGCTGGAACAGTGATGTCCAACACAATGAGTAGTCCTTCACATCTACCTCTAGCTCTATCTACTGGGTCTCAAATAGCAGCAGGCTGGTACAATGGCCTCTCCCTCTTCACCATAATAACTATGGATATGAGCTGATAAAATTGGTTGAAGGGACGAATCATAGGCTGGGAGTGAGGGAGGAAGAGGAAGGGAGAAGTAGTGAGGTAAATAGGGATGGAGAGAAAGAAAGAGTGGATAAGAAGAGAGAAAGAGAGAAATAAAGACAAATGGAGAGAGAGAGAGAGAGAGAGAGACAAAACAGAGAGATAAACAGAGAGAGAGAGATTTCATGAGCTGAAATAAAAGATCCCAGAAATGTTCCATACGCACATAAAGCTTATTTCTCTCAAATCTTCAGCACAAATTTGTTTACATCCCTGTTAGTGAGCATTTCTCATTTGCCAAGATAATCCATCCAGCTGACAGGTGTGGCATATCAAGAAGCTGATTAAACAGCATGATCATTACACAGGTGCACCTTGTGCTGCGGACAATAAAAGGCCAATCTAATATGTGCAGTTCTGTCACACAATGCCACAGATGTCTCAAGTTTTGAGGGACCGTGCAATTTACATGCTGACTGCAGCAATGTCCACCAGAGCTGTTGCCAGATAATTGAATGTTAATTTCTCTACCATATGCTGCCTCCAACGTCGTTTTAGAGAATTTTGGAGTACGTCTGTGTAACCACTCCAGCCCAGCACATCCGGCTTTTTCACCTGCGGGATCATCTGACACCAGCAACGTGGACAGCTGATGAAACTGAGGAGTATTTATGTCTGTAATAAAACCTTTTTGTGGGGAAAAAACTCATTCTGATTGGCTGGGCCTTGCTCCCCAGTGGATGGGCCAGTCTCCCAAGTGGGTGGGCCTAATGAATTTATTTCAATTGCCTGATTTCCTTACATGAACTGTAACTCAGTAAAATCGTTGAAATTGTTGCATGTTGCGTTTATATTTTTGTTCAGTGCATTCTGAAAATATTCAGTCCCCTTGACTTTTTACACATTTTGTTACGTTACAGCATTATTCTAAAATTGATTAAATTGTCCCCCCCTCATCAATCTACACACAATACCACATAATGACAAAGCAAAAACAGGATTTTTGAAATGTTTGCAAATGTATTAAAAAAAAACGGAAATATAACATTTACATAAGTATTCAGACCCTTTATTATGTACAATGTTGAAGCACCTTTGGCAGCGATTACAGCCTCGACTCTTCTTGGGTATGACGCTACAAGTTGGCACACCTGTGTTTGGGGAGCTTCACCCAGTCTTCTCTGCAGATCCTCTCAAGCTGTCAGGTTGGATGGGGAGCGTCGCTGCACAGCTATTTTCAGGTCTCTCCAGAGATGTTCGATCGGGTTCAAGTACGGGCTCTGGATGGGCCACTCAAGGACATTCAGAGACCTGTCCCGAAGCCACTCCTACGTTGTCTTGGCTGTGTGCTTAGGGTTGTTGTCCTGTCGGAAGGTGAACCTTCGCCCCAGTCTGAGGTCCTGAGCGCTCTGGAGCAGGTTTTCATCAAGGACCTCTCTGTACTTTGCTCCATTCATCTTTCCCTCGATCCTGACTAGTCTCCCAGTCCCTGCCACTGAAACACATCCCCACAGCATGGTGATGCCTCTACTATGCTTCACCGTAGGGATGGTGCCAGGTTTCTTCCAGACGTGACGCTTGGCATTAAGGCCAAAGAGTTCAATATTGGTTTCATCAGACCAGAGAATCTTGTTTCTCATGGTCTGAGAGTCCTTTAGGTGCCTTTTGGCAAACTCCAAGTGGGCTGTCACGGCCTTTTATTGAGGAGTGGCTTCTGTCTGGCCACTCTACCATAAAGGCCTGATTGGTGGAGTGCTGCAGTGATGGTTGTCCTTCTGGAAGGTTCTCCCATCTCCACTGAGGAACTCTGGAGCTCTGTCAGAGTGACCATCGGGTTCTTGGTCACCTAGCTGACCAAGGCCCTTCTCCTCCGATTGCTCAGTTTGGCCGGGCAGCCAGCTCTAGGAAGAGTCTTGGTGGTTCCAAACTTCTTCCATTTAAGAATGATGGAGGCCACTGTGTTCTTGGGGACCTTCAATGCTGAAAAAAATAAAATTGGTACCCTTCCCCAGATCTGTGCCTCGACACAATCCTGTCTCATAGCAAAGGGTCAAAATACTTATGCAAATAAGATATTTCTGTAAGTTGCAAAAATGTCTAAAAACCTGTTTTCACTGTCATTAAAGGGTATTGTGTGTAGATTGATGAGAAAAAATAATAATTTCATCAATTTTAGAATAAGACTAACGTAACGAAATGTGGAAAAGGGGAAGGGGTCTGAATGCACTGTATATACTATATACAGCTGTGGAAAAAATTAAGAGACCACTGCAAATTTTTCTTAAATCAGCATCTCTACATGTATGACAGCCATTCCATTCCAGTGTCTGTTGAATTCCAACACAGGCACACCTCATTCTACTGAATTCGGTACTGATTAGGTGATCACATGAACCAAATCTTATTTAACAAGGAAAAGTATAAAAACCACTGCTGTGGTCATCACTATCCTCTTGCAATAGGACCAGCTGGATGGCAAAACCAGTGCTAATAGTACCTCAAAAGTAATATTAATTAAAAAAAACTATTGACCATGCCAAAAGAGTTGAAAAGGAAAGTTTTGAGTGAGGAAAAGAAGGGTTCAATTCTGGCTTTACTGGCAGAGGGATACAGTGAGCGTCAGGTTGCTTCCATCCTTAACATTTAAAAGACGGCGGTTCATAAGAACATGGTCAAGCAGCAGACATTGGGGACAACAAAGCTACAGACTGGCAGAGGGCGAAAACGACTCTCTACTGACCGGGATGACCGCCAACTCATTTGAATGTCACTCAACAACCGTAGGATGACATCAAGTGACCTACAAAAAGAATGGCAAACGGCAGCTGGGGTGAAGTGTACAGCGAGGACTGTTCGAAACAGGCTCCTAGGGGCAGGGCTGAAGTCGTGCAAAGCTAGAAAAAAGCCCTTCATCAATGAGAAGCAAAGAAGAGCCAGGCTGAGGTTTCCAAAATACCTTAAGGATTAGACCGTAGAGGACTGGAGTAAGGTCATCTTCTCTGATGAGTCCAATTTTCAGCTTTGCCCAATGCCTGGTCGTCTAATGGTTAGACGGAGACCTGGAGAGGACTACAAGCAACATTGTCTCACACCCACTGTGAAATTTGGTGGAGGATCGGTGATGATCTGGGGGTGCTTCAGCAAGGCTGGAATCAGGCAGATTTGTCTTTGTGAAGGACGCATGAATCAAGCAACATACAAGGTTGTCCTGGAAGAAAACTAGCTTCCTTTTGCTCTGACATTGTTCCCCAACTCTGAGGATTGGTTTTTCCAGCAGGACATGCCACACAGCCAGGTCAATCAAGGTGTGGATGGAGGACCACAAGATCAAGACCCTGTCATGGCCAGCCCAATCTCCAGACCTGAACCCCATTGAAAACTTCTGGAATGTGATCAAGAGGAAGATGGATGGTCACAAGCCTTCAAACAAAGCCGAGCTGCTTGACTGTTTGCGCCAGGAGTGGCATAAAGTCACCCAACATCAATGTGAAAGACTGGTGGAGAGCATGCCAAGACGCATGAAAGCTGTGATTGAAAATCAGGGTTATTCTACCAAATATTGATTTCTGAACTCTTCCTAAGTTAAAACATTAGTATTGTGTTGTTTAAAAATGAACATGAACTTATTTTCTTTGCATTATTCGAGGTCTGACAACACTGCATCTTTTTTGTTATTTTGACCAGTTGTCATTTTCTGCAAATAAATGCTCTAAATAACAATCTTTTTATTTGGAATTTGGGAGAAATGTTGTCAGTAGTTTATAGAATAAAACAAAAATGTTATTTTTACCCAAACACATACCTATAAATAGTAAAACCAGAGAAACTGATAATTTTGCAGTGGTCTCTTAATTTTTTCCAGAGCTGTATATACACTACATGGCCAAAGGTATGTGGACAGCTGCTCGTCTAACATCTCATTCCAAATTCATGGGCATTAATATGGAGTTGGTCCCCCCTTTGCTGCTATAACAGCCTCCACTCTTCTGGGAAGGCTTTCCACTAGATGTTAGAACATTGCTGCGAAGGACTTGCTTCCATTCAGTAACAAGAACATTAGTGAGATTGGGCACTGAGGTTGGGTGATTAGGCCTGGCTTACAGTCGGGGTTCCAATTCATCTCAAATGTGTTCGATGGGGTTGAGGTCAGGGCTCTGTGCAGGCCAGTCAAGTTCTTCTGCACCGATCTTGACAAACCATTTCTGTATGGACCTCGCTTTGTGCACGGGGGCACTGTCATGCTGAAACAGGAAAGGGCCTTCCCCAAACTGTTGCCACAAAGTTGGAAGCAAAGCATCATCTAGAATGTCATTGTATGATGTAGCGTTAAGATTTCCCTTCACTGGAACTAAGGGGCCTAGTCCGAACCATGAAAAACAGCCCCAGACCATTATTCCTCCCCCATCAAACTTTACGGTTGGCACCATGCATTGGGGCAGGTAGTGTTTTCCTGGCATCCGCCAAATCCAGATCCGTCCGTCAGACTGCCAGATGGTGAAGCGAGATTCATCACTCCAGAGAACACGTTTCCACTGCTCCAGAGTCCAATGGCGGCGAACTTTACACCACTCCAGCCGATTCATGGCATTGCGCATGGTGATCTTAGGCTTGTGTGCAGCTGCTCTGCCATGGAAACCTATTTCATGAAGCTCCCGATGAACAGTGCTGACGTTGCTTCCAGAGGCAGTTTGGAACTCGGTAGTGAGTGTTGCAACCGAGGACAGATGATTTTTACGCGCTACACGCTTCAGCACTCAGCAGTCCCATTCTGTGAGCTTGTGTGGCCTACCACTTCGTGGCTGAGCCTAGACATTTCTACTTCACAATAACAGCACTTACAGTTGACCGGGGCAGCTCTAGCAGGGCAGAAATGTGACTGACCTGTTGGAAAGGTGGCATCCTATGATGGTGCCACGTTAAAAGTCACTGAGCTCTTCAGTACGGGCCATTTTACTGCCAATGTTTCTCTATGGAGATTGCATGGCGGTGTGCTCGATTTTATACACCTGTCAGCAACAGGTGTGGCTGAAATAGCAGAATCCACTAATTTGAAGGGGTGTCCACACACTTTTGGCTATGTAGTGTATACACTGAGTTTACAAAACATTTACAAAACACCCCCTTTTGCCCGCAGAACAGCCTTGGGGAGTGGACTCTACTGGCCCATGTTGACTCCAATGCTTCCCACAGTTGTGTCAAGTTGGCTGGATATCCTTTGGGTGGTGGACCATTCTTGATACACACAGGAAACTATTGAGCGTGAAAAACCCAGCATCGTTGCAGTTTTTACATTTACATTTTAGTAATTTAGCAGACGCTCTTATCCAGAGCGACTTAGAGTTAGTGAGTGCATACATTTTTCATACTGGCCCCTCGTGGGAAACGAACCCACAACCCTGGCATTGCAAGCGCCAACTGAGCTACAAAGTTCTTGACACACTCAAACCAGTGCGCCTGGCACCTACTACCATACCCTGTTCAAAGGCACTTAAATATTTTGTCTTGCCCATTCACCCTCCAATCCTTATTTAACCTCAACAGTGTGCAGCAAATTCTACTAGATGAAAAGCAGAAATTAGTATGACATCCTGGCATTTAAAGTATACTCAATTTTGGAAATTTCACATACTATAAAACTTTCTTTTTTCGCATACCCAATCAGCCTACTATTTAGAACGCAAGTAAGAGTAGTCTATTCAGCTGTGCTCCGACATCATTATTCAATCACTCCCACAAAGAAAAACATGCTGATTCTGCCTCAAATGGAACAACTAAACAGAACATTGCTAACTAAAGAGCCTACAGGACTTGATCAGGTAGCAACCCACAGACACGTACAAGTGCAGTGTCAAGAACAGTCTACTGAAACACATACATTACACACAGAGGAATAAGGGAGAGAGAGATGAAGAGAAAGAGAGAGAACGAGAGAGAGAGAGAGAGAAAGAATGGGGGAATTTTGAGAAAGACATGAACAACAAGATGGAGAGAGAAATTACAGTACCAGCAACAGGAGTCAAGTCAGTCTAATCTGTTTCTGCGCACAGAAGACAGAAGGAGAGAGAATGAGAGAGAGTAGAGAGATAGAGCGAGACAGAGAGAGAGGGAGAGAGAAAGATTGGGGGAAAAAGAGAGTGATAACAGATTGAGAAAGACAGGAACATAAAGATGGAGAGAAATTACAGTCACAGCAACAGGAGTCAAGTCAGTGTAATCTGTTTCTGCACACAGAAGATGGAAGGAGAGAGAACAAGAGAGAGAGAGAAGGGGGGAGGGGGGAATATGAGGACATCTTCAGCTTCAATCGATACTGTATGTGCGAAACCAAAAAAGTAACTATACAGTACAACAGTATATTCCTTCTAACAGCCAGGAATGCTGAAGCAGCAGTCATACAGTGTACATTAATGACCCACCCCTCTATCTAGCCTACATCTCTCACCCACCAAGTTCAACAGATCAATTATCAGCAGGCAGCACAGCAGACGTATACTGACCCCACACATACTGATGTAGTGTATAATCTGTGTGTGTGTGTGTGTGTGTGTGCGCCTACATTTGCATATGTGTCGGTGCATGCGCCTATGCATCTTCGCGTGTGTGGTATTCTGCACGTGTGTGTGTACTTACATCTGTGCTTTGTGTATGTGTGTGTTCACCTGCATGTATGTGTGTGTGTGTGGTGGGCTTAGCAGTCGTACCTGTCCAGGCTGTGAGAGGTGCTTGGTGAGCCCGTGTAGAGCAACTGTCTGAAGTCCTTTATCAGAGCATCCCCCGGTCTCTGGTTCAACCTCTGAGCCAGGCGAGATAACTTACTCTCTGAGCTGCAGAGGAGAGGGGGAGAGGGGGGAGACGAGAGTAGGAGAGGAGGGAGATGGAGGTCAGTCCTGAATGGGAACCTTGAGGGAGAGGTTAAATCCAGATGAGAAGCAAAAGTCACATCAAGGTAAATCTCTCACTGTCTCTCTATCTCACAGAGAAAGAGAGGAGAGTACAGTAGGTCTTTCTCTCTCTCTCTGAGCTCTAAGGAATGCCGGGTGTCAATAAGGTAAGTGTCGCCCAGATCTGAAGCTCTCTCCTGGCTGGATCAGTCACACTGAGTCCCTCTCTGGAGCACATCCAGAGTTCTAAATAAATCTTAGTCCATCCCGTTCTGAAACCGCCAGGAAACTCTGCCAAGCAGGGCAGATTATCACACCTCGGAAGCTTCAATCATGGGTAGCTCCCTGGCCAGTGTAGTCCCTCTCTGGATCTCCACGTTCTGTCAAGCAAGTAAACCCAGTTCAAGAGCTTTATTCTCCAAGGGGCTCTCTCTGACAAGTGTATCCGGAGAGAGATGCCCTATCCTGGGTCAGTTTCAGAGCAGCGTAGCCCCTGTCTGGATCCTACTCTGGAGCTTGTCTCTGTATTCCTCTCTGGCTAGTTATGCTGATAGCACTGAGCACCTGTTCAACACAGCTCTGTGTAAGCAAGCGCATTTCACTTCAGCTGCACACACAAACCCGTGCGCAACACCCACACACACACACACACAAACACAGAGGAGCGCATTGAAGGGAGCAGGGAAAGCAAGAGAAAGGGAGAGAGAGAGAGAGAGAGAGAGAGAGAGAGAGAGAGAGAGAGAGAGAGAGAGAGAGAGAGAGAGAGAGAGAGAGAGAGAGAGAGAGAGAGAGAGAGAGAGAGAGATAGCGAGAGATAGAGGAAGATGTGAGAGGGGGGTTGGGGAGGTGAACGCTGAGCACACAGGGAGAGTGGGTGCCTAGAGATGAGCGGAGGGATGCTGGGCGAGCACACACACGCACACACACTGTTGGCAGCTGTTACACACACTGTACTGAACAAAAAAACCCTGGGGTTGCTTAACAGAAAGGGAGAGGAGGAGGGGGATGACATATTGTCAGAGGGGGAGATGGAGAGAGAGATGAAGAGATGAGAGGGGAGGAGTGGGGCTGACCTATTATTAAAAGGGGGAGAAGCAGAGAGATGTGTGGAGGGGGAGTGGGGGAGTGGGGGAAGGGGAACATATATGTGATGGAGAGGGAAAGGGAGAAGAGATAGAGGGGAGAGAGAGGAAGATAGATGAGAGGGAGAGGAGAGAGAGAGAGGGAGAGAAGAGGATAGGAGAGGGAGAGGAGAGAGAGAAGGAGAGGAGATGAGAGGGAGAGAGAACAAGGGAGAGGAGATGAAAGGAAGAGGAGAGGGAGAGGAGATAAGAGGAGAGGGAGAGGAGGAGAGGGTGAGGAGATAAGAGGAGAGGGAGAGGAGGAGAGGGAGAGGAGGAGAGGGTGAGGAGATAAGAGGAGAGGGAGAGGAGATAAGAGGAGAGGGAGAGGTGAGGAGAGGAGAGGGAGAGGAGGAGAGGGAGAGGTGGAGCGGGAGAGGACATAAGAGGAGAGGGAGAGGAGCTGTTGTTCGCTCACTCATATCTGCTGAAACAGGGTTACCTGCAGAGAGATAGTGTGTGTGTGTGTGTGTGTGTGTGTGTGTGTGTGTGTGTGTGTGTGTGTGTGTGTGTGTGTGTATGCGTGTGTGTAAAAAAAACAGACCGTATAGGTTCGAAAGAAAGCAAAAGAGAAATGTCCCCCAAAAATGTTTAAACGCAAATACATTCAATGTCAAATAATATTCAACATTTTAATGTCACTCTTCTCCTTGTTTTTCCTGTAATACATTTAATGACGCTAAAGGGATTTAAAGGGTTTTCTATTCCTTTCCCATCAGCAGGTTTACTCCCAGGGCCTGTCTAGCTGTCTGTGTGTCAGTACCCAGGAGGCTGGTTATAGTCAGGTCCTGCTCTTGTCCCTGTCTCACAAACACACGCACACACACACACTATACCATCTGTGTGCACTATACCATTAGCTAATCTTTATGGTCCTGAGCTGACCATGGAAAATCACCGACCCTGCTGACCCACTGTCACACACGCACACGCACACGCACACACACACACACCAGTTGTTTGTTCACCCACACCCACCTGCAATTGCAAATAACCCATCCATAACCGCCCGACTATATGTGATAAAGTGAAAATCTGAGGCCCGTGATTTACATTTATTTTTATTTGGATTTCATGTAATGGATGTACACAAAATAGTCCAAATTGGTGAAGTGAAATGAAAAAATAACTTGTTTAAAAAAATTCAAAAAAATTCATAACGGAAAAGTGGTACGTGCATATGTATTCACCCCCTTTGCTATGAAGCCCCTAAATAAGATCTGGTGCAACCAATTACCTTCAGAAGTCACATAATTAGTTAAATAAAGTCCACCTGTGTGCAATCTAAGTGTCACATGATCTTTCACATGATCTCAGTATATATACACCTGTTCTGAAAGGCCCCAGAGTCTGCAACACCACTAAGCAAGGGGCACCACCAAGCAAGCGGCACCATGAAGACCAAGGAGCTCTCCAAACAGGTCAGGGACAAAGTTGTGGCGAAGTACAGATCAGGGTTGGGTTATAAAAAAATATCTGAAATTGCACCACAACAAACCTGCCAAGAGAGGACCGCCCACCAAAACTCACGGACCAGGCAAGGAGGGCATTAATCAGAGAGGCAACAAAGAGACCAAAGATAACCCTGAAGGAGCTGCAAAGCTCCACAGTGGAGATTGGAGTATCTGTCCATAGGACCACTTTAAGCTGTACACTCCACAGAGTTGGGTGCTTTACGGAAGAGTGGCCAGAAAAAAGCCATTGCTTGAAGAAAAAAATAAGCAAACACGTTTGGTGTTCCCCAAAAGCCATGTGGAAGACTCCCCAAACATATGGAAGAAGGTACTCTGGTCAGATTAGACTAAAATTGAGCTTTTTGGCCATCAAGGAAAACGCTATGTCTGGCGCAAACCCAACACCTCTCATCACCCCGAGAACACCATCCCCACAGTGAAGCATGGTGGTGGCAGCATCATGCTGTGGGGATGTTTTTCATCGGCAGGGACTGGGAAACTGGTCAGAATTGAAAGAATGATGGATGGCGCTAAATACAGGGAAATTCTTGAGGGAAACCTGTTTCAGACTTCCAGAGATTTGAGACTGGGACGGAGGTTCACCTTCCAGCAGGACAATGACCCTAAGCATACTGCTAAAGCAACCCTCGAGTGGTTTAAGGGGAAACATTTAAATGTCTTGGAATGGCCTAGTCAAAGCCCAGACCTCAATCCGATTGAGAATCTGTGGTATGACTTAAAGATTGCTGTACACCAGCGGAACCCATCCAACTTGAAGGAGCTGGAGCAGTTTTGCCTTGAAGAATGGGCAAAAATCCCAGTGGCTAGATGTGCCAAGCTTATAGAGACATACCCCAAGAGACTTGCAGCTGTAATTGCTGCAAAAAGTGGCGCTACAAAGTATTGACTTTGGGGGGGAGTGAATAGTTCTGCATGCTCAAGTTCTGTTTTTTTGTCTTATTTCTTGTTTGTTTCACCCCAAAAAATATTTTGCATCTTCAAAGTGGTAGGCATGTTGTGTAAATCAAATGATACAACCCCCCCAAAAAATCAATTTTAATTCCAGGTTGTAAGGCAACAAAATAGGAAAGATGCCAAGGGGGGTGAATACTTTCGCAAGCCACTGCATGTTGCCCTAGAAGACTACATAAACCCTTGCTCACAAGAATAATGTCATAAGTCCCCTGTAGCTCAGTTGGTAGAGCATGGTGCTTGCAACGCCAGGGTTGTGGGTTTCCCACGGGGGGCCAGTATGAAAATGTATGCACTCATGTAAGTCGCTCTGGATAAGAGCATCTGCTAAATGACTAAAATGTAAAAATGATAGAATCTTCAATCTAGATGACATTGGTAAAGTTCTCTCTATCATCTCTGCTTCTTTTGCAGAGCGAAGACATTTAGGGACTTGGGATAAAATGCAATAACAAAAAGAAAACAGGAAACATTTTCTTTGCATAATGTCCAAATGACATCAGTTTGACCAGTTCTAAGGAAATAGAAAGCTGTGAAAACATTTTTTTTATACGGTTTTAGTTTCGCTTAGATGCATATTTTATGTGGTTGAAATATTATCAGCTTTTATGATGCTGATAAAGATAGCACCTCCACAGACTGTATATAACTGGGCATATTTCTCCACTCCTGTTCCAGAGTCCAAATTTTGCCAAAATGTGGTTTATCATTTTACTGCAAGAAATGCTTAATTCTGCAGGAGTTCATATTTTGCCTATGTGAGAGGTTATAGACCTACAGTCAGTGTAAAGATTTCAGTTTCCATTTAACCCATCTGAACAGTAAGCTACTGTTCCCTTGATGTGCCATAGGCCTACTTGAAGTCCCCATCTTGTGACAGTCAAATTTGTATAGCGCCTCACAATCATCACATATAACATAGCCGGCACTGCTATCATCCTCTTTTACCACTTCACCAAATATTTTCCAAAACATAACTCTTCTGGCCCTCCCTCCTCTTTATTTTCGACTCACATTTCGCAGCTTGTTGAATTAAACTCCGACATTGTCCTCCGTGGATACTTTTTCTGCCCGTTCTCCCAAAAGCATTTGGTGAGTACAATAATAAGGTATTGTTTTATCTTTATTCAACCTGCCTGCCATCCGGGGACTGCGGGTTGACTCAACCCGCACAACACACACACACACACAGAGATAGGGAGGTACACACACACACACACACACACAAACAACATACACATGCAGGCAAGCATGACAAAACAGCAAAGCAGTGAGAACAGAATGAACTCATAAAAGTTTAACAGTAATATTCACAATATCATAAAAAGTACAACAACATCAGCATACCAGCCATAACAAGTTTACTGATGTCATAGAGTATGTCACTAGAGAGGTGCCCGGTTCCAACAGGTTCTTCTGTATGACTAATATAGAATGTGACGTTCATTGGAATTTCCCTGTGGTACAATATCACTGGTAAAGTGCTATTATTCAGGGTTTTGTACATGTACACAAGGACGCACGCATGCACACCACCCCCTGCCCTTGCAGCCAGCAGCCTTGGTCATGATTGGTTGGTAATTATCCATTGTGTCATCAAAGCAGGGTCCTTTGACAGATCGGGGCGTCCTACTGGGTGCCTTTTGTATCTGTCAGCGGTCACAGACCGCAGTTTTCCTCAGTGACTCGATGTGACACACACGCGCAACAGGGTATGATCTGATATGGTTTGGACTGGTGAATAGTGGTGTGTATTCATGGATGCCAAGGGAAGCCAGGCTTCCCCAAAAAATGTAAAAATAATAAAAAGAAAAACACATAAAATAATGTATCTTTCCTCTTTTCTTGGGGTGTTTCAGAATTTTCCTTCAATTCGCAAGAGGCTGAATGTACTGTCTCTCCCTGAAGAAAGCATCCGAGCAAGCGAAACAGCGCCCCTCTGTCTCTGTATGTGTAGCCCATCTATCTGATGCTGTCTGGTCAAAAAGGGTATGACATTGTTGCCGCCCGTAGCATTGAATGCAACGAAAGCCAGCAAGCATTTGGCCTTCCTTGATAATAAAAATAATAATAATAATAGCCAATCAGCGTTGAACTAAACTGAGCGAGCTCAACTGTGAATGGTTCTGGCGCACCAAAAAAAAGTGTCAAGGGAAGACAGTTGGATTTGGCTTCACACCAATCACATCACATAAAAAGCTAAACATAATTGACAGAAAAAACTTGAATTGTTGCATCTTGTTGTGTTGTTGTCCTCCCAGTGGCTAATTAGCTAGCTAAAATTAACCATGGATGGAGATTTAGACTTGTGGTTTTACTTAATTCTCCGTACTGGCCAATGATGACAACGGCGATTCTGATCCAACCATCAATTCATACATTGTGCCCCTTGCCTGAGAGGATGTAAGTTCAATATGTAGCTAGATGTACAGTGAGAGAAAAACGTATTTGATTTTGTACGTTTGCCCACTGACAAAGAAATGATCAGTCTATCATTTTAATGGTAGATTTATTTTAACAGTGAGAGACAGAATAACAACAAAAAAATCCAGAAAGAATGCATGTCAAAAATGTTATCAATTGATTTGCATTTTAATGTGGGAAATAAGTATTTGACCCCCTCTCAATCAGAAAGATTTCTGGCTCCCAGGTGTCTTTTATACAGGTAACAAGCTGAGATTAGGAGCACACTCTTAAAGGGAGTGCTCCTAATCTCAGCTTGTTACCTGTATAAAAGACACCTGTCCACAGAAGCAATCAATCAATCAGATTCCAAACTCTCCACCATGGCCAAGACCAAAGAGCTCTCCAAGGATGTCAGGGACAAGATTGTAGACCTACACAAGGCTGGAATGGGCTACAAGACCATCGCCAAGCAGCTTGGTGAGAAGGTGACAACAGTTGGTGCGATTACTCGCAAATGGAAGAAACACAAAATAACTGTCAATCTCCCTCGGCCTGGGGCTCCATGCAAGATCTCACCTCGTGGAGTTGCAATGATCATGAGAACGGTGAGGAATCAGCCCAGAACTACACGGGAGGATCTTGTCAATGATCTCAAGGCAGCTGGGACATAGTCACCAAGAAAACAATTGGTAACACACTACGCCGTGAAGGACTGAAATCCTGCAGCGCCCGCAAGGTCCCCCTGCTCAAGAAAGCACATATACAGGCCCGTCTGAAGTTTGCCAATGAACATCTGAATGATTCAGAAGAGAACTGGGTGAAAGTGTTGTGGTCAGATGAGACCAAAATCGAGCTCTTTGGCATCAACTCAACTCGCCGTGTTTGGAGGAGGAGGAATGCTGCCTATGACCCCAAGAACACCATCCCCACCGTCAAACATGGAGGTGGAAACATTATGCTTTGGGGGTGTTTTTCTACTAAGGGGACAGGATAACTTCACCGCATCAAAGGGGCGATGGACGGGGCCATGTACCGTCAAATCTTGGGTGAGAACCTCCTTCCCTCAGCCAGGGCATTGAAAATGGGTCGTGGATGGGTATTCCAGCATGACAATGACCCAAAACACACGGCCAAGGCAACAAAGGAGTGGCTCAAGAAGAAGCACATTAAGGTCCTGGAGTGGCCTAGCCAGTCTCCAGACCTTAATCCCATAGAAAATCTTTGGAGGGAGCTGAAGGTTTGAGTTGCCAAACGTCAGCCTCGAAACCTTAATGACTTGGAGAAGATCTGCAAAGAGGAGTGGGACAAAATCCCTCCTGAGATGTGTGCAAACCTGGTGGCCAACTACAAGAAACGTCTGACCTCTATGATTGCCAACAAGGGTTTTGCCACCAAGTACTAAGTCATGTTTTGCAGAGGGGTCAAATACTTATTTCCCTCATTAAAATGCAAATCAATTTATAACATTTTTGATATGCGTTTTTCTGGATTTTTTTGTTGTTATTCTGTCTCTCACTGTTCAAATAAACCTACCATTAAAATTATAGACTGATCATTTCTTTGTCAGTGGGCAAACGTACAAAATCAGCAGGGGATCAAATACTTTTTTCCCTCATGGCTGATGTTAACTAGCTGGCTCATCGTTGCCCATGAAAGGAAGTTAGGCTAGCAAGCAAGCATTTTAGCTCGGTAGCCTAGGACAACAAAAACTAAAAGTGTGTACTGTATGACAGAGTCATAAACCGTTTCGGCAACATGAAGGAGAGGAGGATGGCATTGGCGTTTATCTACAAGTAGGGTAAGTCAACATGTTTTTTTCTACTTTCAAGCACGCACACTTTTATTTGTAACTGTATTAGACTAAGCATAGCTGATATGATGATGTTGAAATGTTAAAGTTGAAATGGTGATGGAATAGTGGAGGCAGCTTCTATTTTCTTTGCGATTTGTGGTGGCCTACCTCTCCATGGTTCTAAATACATAACGTTAGTTGTTTAGTAGTCCGAAAATGTCGAAAACATTAACTTGCTTGAACATGCTGTAGGTCATGTACCTGTTTGTTACATGCAATATTTTTGACATGTTAGTCATTTAGCAGACACTCTTATCCAGAGCGACTTACAGTTAGCTTTGTGGACTTCACCGGACAGTTGTTGCTCTCTGGTTTTGTGATGAAACACAGGTGTGGTTGAATTTATTCTGTCACTGTCTTGTTATTGTCTCGGCCTTAGGCCTATATATCACGGTGGCAAGGTATATGACCTAACAGGATATTATTGTACAAACAACGCAATTATCACAACACATAGGTTGTAATATGGCTATTTTTTCCTGGCTTGGCTTCTAGTGATTTTACTCACGCACCGCTACTGCTGGTGAAAGCCATATGTAGTGTGTGTGTCACATCGAGTCACTGAGGAAAATTGCAGTCTGTGGCCGATGACGGCTACAAAAGGCAACATTTACCCGGGAAATCCAATTCCCCATTCAAATGACTGGCGAAAACCTCACACAATGATCTCAAACTGTGTTTTTAATACACAATGAAATTAAAAACAGACTACCCCTTCAGGAGGCACTCTGGCATGTTGTGGTGGAATGTTATTACAATTACTTCACAGGACCTGGTAAAATGAGGTTTGTAGTGTGGCTAGCCAATGAATGGCTCTGAATGCACTGTCAGAATGCAGTCAAAGCTAACCACTTTTGGAGATGACTAGTACTCTCAAATTGTATCCTGATGTCGACAGCAGGTAAGAGTTATATTCATTATATAGCTAACTTAGCTAGCTAACATACATTTGGTGAAAACAAGTTATATTCACTTGCTGGCTAGCTAGCCAGTGTTAGCAATGTTTTCAATGGTGATGAATGAGAGCTATTGTTAACCAGCTAACAGACAATGCAACAAAAGTGTAATTTCGGATTTAAAAAAATACTCCAACAGGCTCTGAATTTCATGAATCACACTTCCCCCTGGTGTACTGTTCAATTATTTAACCATTTTTAAACAAATAATTTTGGGATGAAAACTTGTTTTTAATATTGCCCTCATTGTCTTTCATGGGTTTGAAATTTGAGTCTGCGGCAACGGACTCCAGCTTGGTTAGCGAAAGTTGCTATCTACCGGAGCTCTGCGATTGGTTGGCCCACAGTTTGGGGCGGGGCTTAGCGAAGGGTCAATAAAGAAACAGTAAGGTTCAAGGACTTGGGAAGTTCGGCTCTTTTTATTGACTGATCTTTTCAACTCGATTAGTCAAAAGAACAAATCTTTCAATTCATTTTGTTCATTTGATTCAGTTATGCCAGGAGCACACAGGATCCCCTACCAGTGAACGATGAACTAAAAACTCGAAAGAATCATGATTCTACAAGACTCTCATTCACCATATTGGGCTTATTGGAGCTTATTGGAGCTGTCATATACAAGGGTGCTTCAAACAATGTACATTTGTTGATTTCTAGGCATACAAATATGATTATTTATTGATACCTTTGAAACAAGGTCTAGTAGAGGCCGCAACCGGACTAGATTGTGAACGACTCTTGGTGGAATAGAATTGCTTGACTGCCGTGAGGGAGATATCCATGATATCGTTCGCAAACTGCAGCAGCCCCCAAACGACTCGTTCTCGAGTTTGAGTGTTGAGCAGAGGCAGGATGTGTATGTTTTGTTTCTACAACGCTGTGGACTCAGTATGGATTATCCATCTCTGCAAAATGGTGGAATACAGTTACTATAACTGGACAAGACAAACATATTTTCACGATTTCCCAAACATCATCAAAATCAATAAATCACAGCGTGTTTCTGGCCTCATTCAGTAGATTCACGTTGAAAAATTATGTTAAAATAATAATTTATATCCTTAAAACATAAATTGAAAATTGCTGCTTCCTATTTTGTAAATGTTTTATTTATCTATATAACCCAGTGTCAAAATACTGCCGTTAAATGTCCAAATTCATAATCTATATGCTGAAATAGGGCATGACATTTTGAAGACCAAAATATACAAATGACTACACATACAATACATTCGGAAAGTATTCAGACCCCTTGACTTTTTCCACATTTTGTTACGTTACAGCCTTATTCTAAAATTGATTAAATTGTTTTTTTCCCCTCATCAATCTAGACACAATACCACATAATGACAAAGCAAAAACAGGTTTTTAGACATTATTGCACATTTATACAAAATAAAAAACGGAAATATCACATTTACATAAGTATTCAGACCCTTTACTCAGCACTTTGTTGAAGCACCTTTGGTAGTGATTACAGCCTCGAGTAGTCTTGGGTATGACGTTACAGGCTTGGCACACCTGTATTTGGAGAGTTTCTCCCATTCTTCTCTGCAGATCGTCTCAAGCTTTGTCAGGTTGGATGGGGAACGTCGCTGCACAGCTATTTTCAGGTCTCTCCAGGACATTCAGAGACTTGTCCCTGAAGCCACTCCTGCGTTGTTTTGGCTGTGTGCTTAGCGTCGTTGTCCTGTTGGAAGGTGAACCTTCGCCCCAGTCTGAGGTCCTGAGCGCTCTGGAGCAGGTTTTCATCAAGGATCTCTCTGTACTTTGCTCCGTTCATCTTTCCCTCGATCCTGACTAGTCTCCCAGTCCCTGCCACTGAAAAACATCCCCACAGCATGATGTTGCCACCACGGTGCTTCACCGTAGGGATGGTGCCAGGTTTCCTCCAGACGTGATGCTTGGCATTCAGGCCAAAGAGTTCAATCTTAGTTTAATCAGACCAGAGAATCTTGTTTCTCATAGTCTGAGAGTCCTTTAGGTGCCAAGAGGGCTATCATGTGCCTTTTACTGAGGAGTGGCTTCCATCTGGCCAATCTACCATAAAGGACTGATTGGTGGAGTGCTGCAGAGATGACTGTCATTCTGGAAGGTTCTCCCATCTCCACAGAAGAACTCTGGAGCTCTGTCAGAGTGACCATCGGGTTCTTGGTCACCTCCCTGACCAAGACCCTTCTCCCCCGATTACTATGTTTGGCCTGCGGCCAGCTGTAGGAAGAGTCTTGCTGGTTCCAAACTTCTTCCATTTAAGAATGATGGAGGCCACTGTGTTCTTGGGGACATTCAATGCTGCAGACATGTTTTAGTACCCTTTCTCAGATCGGTGCCTCGACACAATCCTGTCTCGGAGCGCTACTGACAATTCCTTCGACTTCATGGCTTGGTTTTTGCTCTGACATGCACTGTCAACTGTGGGACCTTATATAGACAGGTGTGTGCCTTTTCAAATCATGTCCAATCAATTGAATTTACCACAGGTGGACTCCAATCAAGTTGTAGAAACATCTCAAGGATGGTCAATGGAAACAGGATTCACCTGAGCTCAATTTCCAGTCTCATTGCAAAGGGTCTGAATACTTATGTGAACCTGTTTTCGCTTTGTCTTTATGGGGTATTGCATGTAGATTGATGATATATATATTTTTTTCATAAATTTTAGAATAAGGCTGTAATGTAACAAAATGTGGAAAAACAAAAAAGTCGAGGGGTCTGAATACTTTACGAATGCACTGTACATGTCATACTCGTGATCAGATTACTTGTATTTTGTTAAATTAGTACCTTATAAACTGCACACGCACCAACATTTGTCCAGCGTCCACTCTACACCGGAATTGATTAGCTTGTTCTACTGTAATCAATAGCACCCGCAAATTAATCATTAATCAAAAAAAGATATATGTCATCAATCTACACACAATACCCCATTAAGACAAAGCGAAAACAGGTTTTTAGAAATGTTTGCAAATACAAAACAGAAACCTTATTCACATAAGTATTCAGACCCTTTGCAATGAGCCTGGAAATTGAGCTCAGGTGAATCCTGTTTCCATTGACCATCGATATTGTATGGAAATCAACATAACTGGGACAATCCGCTGCCGCTACAGATGTAGGATCTTGTGATCACCCTGTTGCAGGATAACTTTCCTGCAATGCAGGAAATGTAAAACATGTAGTGCATTTGAGGTTTAAAAGGCTTCTGAAGTTTGAAATTTCCACTTTGACATTTGACTTGATTTCCCTTATGAAGGAACCAACCCCTACAAAAATGTCATTAATTATAATCCACAAAATAATTCACATTTCCTGTTGCTGCAGGATTATTTTCTTGCTGTAGCAAACTAGCTCAAATTAAGATCCTACATCTGTACATGTGCCATTTGCTCTCTTCTAAAAGACAAACCTCCAATTACTTGGGTATACTACCTATTCCAGTTGATAGATGAAAACATGTAGTAGCCATTTATCAACTTATAGCTCTGAGAGACAATTATTTAGGTAGATGGCTGATACGGAAAAGGAAACAACACTTTCTAGATAGCGACAGCGGTGAATGCTACAACATGATCCCTTATTGGTGTGAGCTGTTAAATCCATTTCAATCAGTGTAGATCAGGGTTTCACAAACTCGGTCCAGGTCACCCCCTGGGTGCACGTTTTGGTTTTTGCCCTATCACTACACAGCTGATTCAAATAATCAAAGCTTGATGATGAGTTGGTTATTTGAATCAGCTGTGTAGTGCTAGGGCAAGAACCAAAACGTGCACCCGGGGGGGGGGGGGGGGGGGGGGGGGGGGGGGGCAGGACTGAGTTTGGGAAACCCTGGTGTAGCTAAAGGGGAGGAGACAGGTTAAAGAATAATTTTTAAGCCTAGAGACAATTGAGACATGGATTGTGTATGTGTACCATTCAGAGGGTGATTGGGCAAGACAAAATATTTAAGTGCCTTGAACAGGGTATGGTAGTAGGTGACAGGCGCACCAGTTTGAGTGTGTCAAGAACTGCAACGCTGCAGGGTTTTTCATGCTCAACAGTTTCCCATGTGTGTATCAAGAATGGTTCACCACCCAAAGGACGTCCAGCCAACTTGACACAACTGTGGGAAGCATGGGAGTCAACATGGGTCAGCAACCCTGTGAAGCTTTCGACACCTCATAGTCCATGCCCTGATGAATTAAGGCTGTTCAATATTAGAAAGGAGTCCCTAATGTTTTGTACACTCAGTGCATATCCACAGTGTTGTATAATGGTACATTTTTCTATCCAATATTTAGCAATTTGAAATGGTCTAATATATTTATTTGTGCCAACCATGAGTGAAAGTGTTATACCAGTTTAAGTGGTTGATGGTTATGTTACATTTTAGTAATTTAGTAGACACTTTTATCCAGAGCGACTTACAGGAGCAATTAGGGTTAAGTGCCTCGCTCAAGGGCACATCAACAGATTTTTCACCTAGTCAGCCCTGGGATTTGAACCTGCAACCTTTCAGTTACTAGCTCTTAACCGCTAGGCTACCTGCCAGTAGTTGTCAAAAGTTGAGCAACTCATTTTACACTGTCAGTTCTGCAATCTTTGTAAGAGCATGTGACATTAAAGAGCTGCACTGTTAAGAGTTTGCATTAAGTTAGTTGCCTGGAAATTGCTGTGAATTTTGTGTTACCTTACTAGCAACCAGCTGTAAAATTCACAATAACGTAACACCTTAACTAGCAACCTAACTGTCAGTAAGCTATTGTAGAATGAACAGTAACATACTTGCAACTAGGTGCCAGTAGCTCAATGAACTTTTCTGATTACAAGAAAGCTTATAACATTAGGTGACAACTATTAAGCATTCTTTGTGGTGAGCACACTTGGGACCCAGCCTCACCTGGCCTCAACCTCTAGGTTGACAGCAAACTTACCTTACTGCCACACCATCAGGTCAGTGAGAGTGACAGAGATCAGCCACAGTAAGTTATTTTAACAGTTTAGTTATTTTACAATAACTACTTCCAGCAAGCTAACAGTACATGAACTTCCCGGTGACCAACTGCCATTAACACTAGAACTGTCAAGACATTCAATCTGACTGTTTTCAATTTTTCAATTTCAATAACTTAATTTCAATAAAAACCTTGAACCTAACATGTGTTTATGAAGGTCTTAGGTAACATTAAAATAAGAAATGTTAATATTTGAAAGAACATAATACAATTTTCATTAGTTTACGTTAGAGTAGACTAAATGTAAAAATGTAAAACCACTAAAAACACAGAATTTCACATGTAAAATCAATTTTATTAGTGGAGTGCCTTTGTTACAACTATGAAACAAAAAGCATGTGAGTTGAAACGCAGTAAAAGCTTATTTTTATAACGACAAAACAAATATAATAATTAAAAAATTACGAAAATTAAGTAAATATAAGTGAAATATAGTGAAAATCAGCACAAAAGCAATAATGGCATTATAATTAATGTAAGTGTCGATATGACAGCAGTCAAAAATAGTATATTATTGTCAGTTATTGGACACATTGCTTGTAGTCTCGCTCGTGCTTACAGTATGCTGTGCGTCTTCATGCAACAATTGGATCCAGTGGTTTAAAGTACTTAAGTAAAAATACTTTAAAGTACTACTTAAGTAGTTTTTTGGGGTATCTGTACTTTACTTTATTATTTATATTTTTGACATCTTTTACTTTTACTCCACTACATTCCTAAAGAAAATAATGTACTTTTTACTTCATATATTTTCCCTGACACCCAAAAGTATTCGTTACATTTTAAATGCTTAGCAGGACAGGAAAATGGTCCAATTCATGCACTTATCAAGAGAACATCTCAGGTCATCCCAACTGCCTCTGATCTGGCGGACTCACTAAACACAAATGCTTCGTTTGTAAATTATGTCTGAGTGTTGGAGTGAGGCCCTTAGAGGTCTTCACGGCTCCACTGTGCATGAATACCCAAGACCCGATCCGGGACCCGAGCGGGTCTGGATCCAGAATTCTAAATAATGTCACGGATCTGAGTCGGATCTGATATGATTGTCACGGGTCTCGGGTACGTGTAATTTTAACTGTTTTCCGGAAGGGGCCGTGCATTTCCGAACGCCACTGCTGCATTAGAGAAAGAGAGAGAAATTGTATAATTTATAGTGCTGCTGCTCTTGCTTGTTTTTGGCCAATCATAAGTCATCAAAACGGCAATAGGCTACAGTCATAGAGCCTCGCTCCGTGTGTGGCAAAAGTTAGGAGATATCTAATCAGTGGAAGATGTAATTAAATTGACAGAATAACATTTTAAAGGAGAAGGATAGGCTACAACGGCCAAGAGCTAACATGTAGGCAGGCTACTACTTAATATTCTGAATGGAGTTGTTATTTGTAACTGTAGGATCAGAAAGCGCATGCTCTGCACCCTCAGTTAGCCTAGCTAGCTAACGTTAGGAATACAGATATGCATCTGTTAGTCACAGATACCTTTAAAAAAACGGTAGGGGCGTGGATCAGAAAACCAGTCAGTATCTGGTGTGACCACCATTTTACTCATGCAGCGAGACACATCTCTTTCGCATAGAGTTGATCAGGCTGTTGATTGTGGCCTGTGGAATGTTGTCCCACTCCTCTTCAATGGCTGTGCGAAGTTGCTGGATATTGGCAGGAACTGGAACACGCTGTCATACACGTCGAACCAGAGTAACCCAAACATGCTCAATGGTTGACATGTCTGCTGAGTATACAGGCCATGGAAGAACTGGGACATTTTCAGCTTCCAGGATTTGTGCACAGATCTTTGCGACATGGGGCTGTGCATTATCATGCTGAAACATGAGGTGATGCCGGTGGATGAATGGCACGACAATGGGCCTCATGATCTCGTCACGGTATCTCTGTGCATTCAAACTTATGCCTGCCCATACCATAACCCCACCGCCAACATTGACATCAGCAAACTGCTCACCCACACAACGCCATACACATGATCAGCGGTTGTGAGGCTGGTTGGACGTACTACCAAATTCTCTAAAACAACATTGGAGGCGGCTTATGGTAGAGAAATGAACATTCAATTCTCTGGCAACAGCTCCGGTGGACATTCCTGCAATCAGCTTGCCAATTGCACGCTCCCTCAAAACTTGAGGCACCTGTGGCATTGTGTTGTGTGACAAAACTGCACATTTTAGAGTGGCCTTTTATTGTACGCAGCACAAGGTGCACCTGTGTAATGAACATGCTGTTTAATCAGCTTCTTGATATGCCACACCTGTCAGGTGGATGGATTATCTTGGTAAAGGAGAAATGCTCACTAACAGGGATGTAAACAAATTTGTGCACAACATTTGAGAGAAATAACCTTTTGTGCCTATGAAAAATGTGTGGAATCTTATTTCAGCTCATGAAACATGGGACCAACACTTACATGTTGCGTTTATATTTTTGTTCAGTGTCCTTTTACTTTTGATACTTTAGTCTATTTAAAAACAAATACTTTTAGACTTTTACTCAAGTATTATTTTACTGGGTCTTTCACTTTTACGTGAGTAATTTTCTATTAAGGTATTTTAACTTTTACTTTAGTATGACAATTGTGTACTGTTTCCACCACTGGTTGGATATAATTTAGCTGTTATCCCTTGTACTAACAGTCACCACAAATCTTTGTCACTTTCACTTGAGTGCAACACTTCCCACAAACAAGTTGCTTGCAGCTGTCATAGGTTCTGTTGCGAGTGCATCTGTCCACCTCGCAGTTTCTCCTCCCTGGGAGCTGTGCACAATTTGGCTCAAGCAATGGCTCGCGTGGACTCTTTGCTGCTGCCTTGGCCCTCATATGTCTCTCACGTAGTCCGTGTGCCAGACTCATGAGGAAGTCTCTCCTCCTCAAGGTGTTGTTCATGCACTGCTTGAACAACACGTGTGTGTTGATAGCAGCCAACTGTCACGCCCTGATCTAGAGAACTCTTGTTGGTTGGGTTAGGGTTTGAGTTTCAGTTGAGATCTATGTGATTGTATATCTATGTTTAGATCTAGTTTTATATTTCTATGTTTGGCAGGGTGTGATTCCCAATCAGAGGCAGCTGTCGCTCGTTGTCTCTGATTGGGGATCATACTTAGGTAGCCTGGTTGCCTACCTTAGTGGTGGGATCTTGTTTGTGTTCCTGTTAGGCTTGTTGTGTGTATAGCCAATAGGACTTCATGTTTTCGTTGTTTTGTTATTTTGTCAAGTGTTTATTTGTCTTAATAAATATGTACGCATATCACGCTGCACCTTGGTCTGACCCGTCTCTCAACGATCGTGACACCAACTCAAGCATGTTGTAGAACTCAGCAACAGGCCAGCAGCGAGTTCCTCCTTTCACCTAGTACAGCCGTGCCATCTGATCCGAAAAAGTATCTGACACTCGCTCACCTGCTGCCAGATATGGATCCTTTCTCAAATATGGAAAGCCATTCAGCATGAATCAGAATAATCATCATCAGAGATGTCATGATCCATTTCTTCCCCACCATCTGAGTGTTTTCATTCAGATCTTGTAGCAACGCTAACGCAGCATGTTCATCTTGGTCTTGCCATTGTCAATTATGCTCTCACTGTGTAGCCTACTTCAAGTAGGTCTAGAGTAGACTAATTAGGCTGCTTGGATTCAGTGGACTGATATAGGGTACATATTTTTGAGATTATAATTAGAATAGATGAATACAATAGAATGGCCTGCCCTGTTCTTCATTCACAATTGGTGATTACATAATTATGCATTGTTCGGTTCCCCTCGCTCATCAACTGACACCAATAATAAGAAGAAACTTGATTGGGCCAAGAAACACGAGCGATGGACATTAGACCGTTGGAAATCTGTCCTTTGGTCTGATGAGTCCAAATTTCAGATTTTTGGTTCCAACCGCAGTGTCTTTGTGAGACGCAGAGTAGGTGAACGGATGATCTCTGCATGTGTGGTTCCCAGCGTGAAGCATGGAGGAGGAGGTGTGATGGTGTGGGGGTGCTTTGCTAGTGACACTGTCTGTGATTTATTTAAAATTCAAGGCACACTTGACGAGCATGGCTACTACAGCATTCTGCAGCGATACGCCATCCCATCTGGTTTGCGCTTAGTGGGACTATCATTTGTTTTTCAACAGGACAATGACCCAACACACCTCCAGGCTTTGTAAGGGATATTTATATTTGACCAAGAAGGAGAGTGATGGAGCGCTGCATCAGATGACCTGGCCTCCACAATCCCCCGACCTCAACCAAATTTAGATGGTTTGGGATGAGTCAGACTGCAGAGTGAAGGAAAAGCAGCCAACAAGTGCTCAGCATATGTGGGAACTCCTTCAAGTCTGTTGGAAAAGTTTTTCAGGTGAAGCTGGTTGAGAGAATGCCAAGAGTATGCAAAGCTGCCATCAACACAAAGGGTGGCTACTTTGAAGAATCTAAAATCTAAAATATATATTTTTTGTTTAACACCTTTTTGGGTACTAGATGATTCAATATGTGTTATTTCATAGTTCTTATGTCTTCACTATTATTCTACAATGTAGAAAATAGTAAAAAAGTTTGACTGGTACTGTACGTATTCACACCCCTGAGTCAATACTTTGTAGAAGCACCTTTGGCAGCGATTACAGCTGTGAGTCTTTCTGGGTAAGTGTCTAAGAGCTTTCCATTACATTTACATTTTACATTTTAGTCATTTAGCAGACGCTCTTATCCAGAATGTTCCACACCTGTATTGTGCAACATTTTCAAAATTCTTCAAGCTCTGTCAAATTGGTTGTTGATCATTGCTAGACAACCATTTTCAGGTCTTGCGATAGACTTTCAAGTAGATTTAAAGTGAGGGAAAAAAGTATTTGATCCCCTGCTGATTTTGTATATTTGCCCACTGACAAGACATGATCAGTCTATAATTTTAATGGTAGGTTTATTTGAACAGTGAGAGACAGAATAACAACAAAAAAATCCAAAAAAACGCATGTCAAAAAGGTTATAAATAGATTTGCATTTTAATGAGGGAAATAAGTATTTGACCCCTCTGCAAAACATGGCTTAGTACTTGGTGGCAAAACCCTTGTCGGCAATCACAGAGGTCAGACGTTTCTTGTAGTTGGCCACCAGGTTTGCACACATCTCAGGAGGGATTTTGTTCCACTCCTCTTTGCAGATCTTCTCCAAGTCATTAAGGTTTCGAGGCTGACATTTGGCAACTCGAACCTTCAGCTCCCTCCACAGATTTTCTATGGGATTAATGTCTGGAGACTGGCTAGGCCACTCCAGGACCTTAATGTGCTTCTTCTTGAGCCACTCCTTTGTTGCCTTGGCCGTGTGTTTTGGGTCATTGGCATGCTGGAATTCCCATCCACGACCCATTTTCAATGCCCTGGCTGAGGGAAGGAGGTTCTCACCCAAGATTTGATGGTACATGGCCCCGTCCATCGTCCCTTTGATGCGGTGAAGTTGTCCTGTCCCCTTAGCAGAAAAACACCCCCAAAGCATAATGTTTCCACCTCCATGTTTGACGGTGGGGATGGTGTTCTTGGGGTCATGGGCAGCATTCCTCCTCCTCCAAACACAGTGAGTTGAGTTGATGCCAAAGAGCTCGATTTTAGTCTCATCTGACCACAACACTTTCACCCAGTTCTCCTCTGGATCAGTCAGATGTTCATTGGCAAACTTCAGACGGCCCTGTATATGTGCTTTCTTGAGCAGGGGGACCTTGCGGGTGCTGCAGGATTTCAGTCCTTCACGGCGTAGTGTGTTACCAATTGTTTTCTTGGTGACTATGGTCCCAGCTGCCTTGAGATCATTGACAAGATCCTCCCGTGTAGTTCTGGGCTGATTCCTCACCGTTCTCATGATCATTGCAACTCCACGAGGTGAGATCTTGCATGGAGCCCCAGGCCGAGGGAGAATCGCACCAACTGTTGTCACCTTCTCACCAAGCTACTTGGCGATGGTCTTGTAGCCCATTCCAGCCTTGTGTAGGTCTACAATCTTGTCCCTGACATCCTTGGAGAGCTCTTTGGTCTTGGCCATGGTGGAGAGTTTGGAATCTGATTGATTGATTGCTTCTGTGTACAGGTGTCTTTTATACAGGTAACAAGCTGAGATTAGGAGCACTCCCTTTAAGAGTGTGCTCCTAATCTCAGCTCGTTAGCTGTATAAAAAGACACCTGGGAGCCAGAAATCTTTCTGATTGAGAGGGGATCAAATACTTATTTCCCTCATTAAAATGCGAATCAATTTATAACATTTTTGACATGCGTTTTTCTAGATTTTTTTGTTGTTATTCTGTCTCTCACTGTTCAAATAAACCTACCATTACAATTATAGACTGATCATTAGAATGATCATTACTATCAGTGGGCAAACGTACAAAATCAGCAGGGGATCAAATACTTTTTTCCCTCACTGTAAGTCATAACTGTAACTAGGCCACTCAGGAATATTCACTGTCTTCTTGGTAAACAACTCATGTAGATTTGGCCTTGTGTTTTAGGTTAGCGCAGTGGTCTAAGGCACTGCATCGCAGTGCTAGCTGTGCCACTAGAGATCCTGGTTCGAATCCAGGCTCTGTCGTAGCCGGCCACGACCGGGAGACCCATGGGGCGGCGCACAATTGGCCCAGCGTCGTCCAGGGTAGGGGAGGGAATGGCCCGGCGGGGATGTAGCTCAGTTGGTAGAGCATGGCGTTTGCAACGCCAGGGTTGTGGGTTCGCTTCCCACGGGGGTTATGAAAAATAAAAAATAATGTATGCGCTAACTGTAAGTCGCTCTGGATAAGAGCGTCTGCTAAATGACTAAAATGTAAAAAATGTAAAATGTATTGTCCTGCTGAAAGATGAATTAATCTCCCAGTGTCTGGTGGAAAGCCTACTGAATCAAATCAAAATCAAATCAAATTGTATTTGTCACATGCGGCGAATACAACAGGTGTAGACCTTACAGTGAAATGCTTACTTACAAGCCCTTAACCAACAATGCAGTTTTAAGAAAGAATACCCTAAAAAATCACACAAAAAAATACAATATAAAATAATCCGAAATAAAAGTAACAAATAATAAAAGTAAAAATAACAATAGTGAGGCTATATACAGGGGGTACCGGTACCGAGTCAATGTGCAGGTGCACCATTTATTCGAGGTAACTGAGGAAATATGTACATGTTGGTAGTGTTACTAAAGTGACTATGCATAGATAATAAACAGAGAGCGGGGTGGGCAATGCAAATAGTCTTGGTAGCCATTTGATTAGATGTTCAGGAATCTTATGGCTTGGGGGTAGAAGCTGTTTAGAAGCCTCTTGGACCTAGACTTGGCGCTCCGGTACCGCTTGCCATGCGGTAGCAGAGAGACAGTCTATGACTAGGGCAGAGATAGCAGAGAGACAGACAATTTATAGGGCCTTCCTCTGACACCACCTGGTATAGAGGTCCTGGATGGCAGGGAGCTTGGCCGTCCGCACTACCCATTGTAGTGCCTTGCGGTCGGAGGCCGAGCAGTTGCCATACCAGGCAGTGATGCAACCAGTCAGGATGCTCTCGATGGTGCAGCTGTAAAACCTTCTGAGGACCCATGCCAAATCTTTTCAGTCTCCTTAGGGGGAATAGGTTTTGTCGTGCCCTCTTCACGACTGTCTTGGGGTGCTTGGACCATGTTAGTTTGTTGGTGATGTGGACACCAAGGAACTTGAAGCTCTCAACCTTCTCCACCGTCGATGAGAATGGGGGTGTGCGCTGTCCTCTTCTTTTTCCTGCAGTCCACAATCATCTCCTTTATCTTGATCATGTTGAGGGAGAGGTTGTTATCCTGGCACCACAGGGCCAGGTCTCTGACCTCTTCCCTATAGGCTGTCTCGTCGTTGTCGGTGATCAGGCCTACCACTGTTGTGTCATCGGCAAACTTAATGATGGTGTTGGAGTCGTGCCTGGCCATGCAGTCATGAGTGAACAGGGAGTACAGGAGGGGACTGAGAACGCACCCGTGAGGGGCCCCCGTGTTGAGGATCAGCGTGGGGGATGTGTCGTTACCTACCCTTACCACCTGGGGGTGGCCCGTCAGGAAGTCTAGGATCCAGTTGCAGAGGGAGGTGTTTAGTCTCAGGGTCCTTAGATTAGTGATGAGCTTTGAGGGCACTATGCTGTTGAACACTGAGGTGTAGTCAATGATTTAGCATTCTCACATAGGTGTTCCTTTTGTCCAGGTGTGAAAGGGCAGTGTGGAGCGCAATAGAGATTCCATCATCTGTGGATCTGTTGGGGCGGTATGCAAATTGGAGTGGGTCTAGGGTTTCTGGGATAATGGTGTTGATGTGAGCCATGACCAGCCTTTCAAAGCACTTCATGGCTACAGATGTGAGTGCTACGGGTCGGTAGTCATTTACGCAGGTTACCTTAGTGTTCTAGGGCACAGGGACTATGGTGGTCTGCTTGAAACATGTTGGTATTACAGACTCAGACAGGGAGAGGTTGAAAATGTCAGTGAAGACACTTGCCAGTTGGTCAGCGCATGCTCTGAGTACACGTCCTGGTAATCCGTCTGGCCCTGCGGCCTTGTGCATGTTGACCTGTTTAAATTTCTTACTCACATCGGCTACGGAGAGCGTGATCACACAGTTGTCCGAAACAGCTGATGCTCTCATGCATGTTTCAGTGTTACTTGCCTCGAAGCGAACATAGAAGTAATTTAGCTCTTCTGGTAGGCTCGTGTCACTGGGCAGCTCGCGGCTGTGCTTCCCTTTGTAGTCTGTAATAGTTTGCAAGCCCTGCATCATCCGACGAGCATCGGAGCCGGTGTAGTACAATTCGATCTTAGTCCTGTATTGACGCTTTGCCTGTTTGATGGTTCGTCAGAGGGCATAGCGGGATTTCTTATAAGCTTCCGGGTTAGAGTCCCGCTCCTTGAAAGCGGCAGCTCTACCCTTTAGCTCAGTGAGGATGTTGCCTGTAATCCATGGCTTCTGGTTGGGGTATGTATGTACAGTCACTGTGGGGACGACTTCATCGATGCACTTATTGATGAAGCCAGTGACTGATGTGGTGTACTCCTCAATGCCATCGGAAGAATCTCGGAACATATTCCAGTCTGTGATAGCAAAACAGTCCTGTAGCTTAGCATCTGCTTTATCTTAATTTTTTATTGACCAATTCACTGGTGCCTCCTGCTTTAGTTTTTGCTTGTAAGCAGGAATCAGGAGGATAGAATTATGGTCAGATTTGCCAAATGGAGGGCGAGGGAGAGCTTTGTATGCGTCTCTGTGTGTGGAGTAAAGGTGGTCTAGTTTTTTCCCCTCTGGTTGCACATTTAACATGCTGGTAGAAATTAGGTAAAACGGATTTAAGTTTCCCTGCATTAAAGTCCCCGGCCACTAGGAGTGCCGCCTCTGGATGAGCGTTTTCCTGTTTGCTTATGACCGTATACAGTTCATTGAGTGCGGTCTTAGTGCCAGCATCGGTTTGTGGTGGTAAATAGACATATACGAAGAATATAGATGAAAACTCTCTTGGTAGATAGTGTGGTCTACAGCTTATCATGAGATACCCTCAGGCGAGCAAAACCTCGAGACTTCCTTAGATATCGTGCACCAGCTGTTGTTTACAAATGTACATAGACCGCCACCCCTTTTCTTACCAAAGGCTGCTGTTCTATCCTGCCGATACAGTGTATAACCCGCCAGCTGTATGTTATTCATGTCTTCGTTCAGCCACGACTCTGTGAAACTTAAGATATTACAGTTTTTAATGTCCCGTTGGTAGAATATACGTGCTTGTAGTTCGTCCAGTTTATTATCAAGCGATTGTAAGTTGGCCAATAGTATAGATGGCAAAGGCAGATTAGTCACTCGTCGCCGGCTCCTTACCAAGCACCCCGATCTCCTTCTGCAATATCTCCTTTTCTTTCTACTACGAATTACGGGGATGAGGGCCCTGTCGGGTGTCTGGAGCAATTCCTTTAGTGTCTAGTTGCAAACAGGATGCATGTTCTGAAATATTTTTATTCTGTACAGGCTTCCTTCTTTTCACTCTGTCAATTAGGTTAGTATTGTGTAGTAACTTTTGTTGATCCATCCTAATTTCTCTCCTATCACAGCCATTAATCTCTGTAACTGTTTTAAAGTCACCATTGGCCTCATGGTGAAATCCCTGAGCGGTTTCCTTCCTCTCCGGCAACTGAGTTAGGAAGGACCCTGTATCTTTGTAGTGGCTGGGTGTATTGATACACCATCCAAAGTGTAATTAAAAACTTCACCATGCTCAAAGGGATATTCAATGTCTGCTTTTAAATTTTTTACCCATCTACCAATAGGTGCCCTTCTTTAAGAGGCATTGGAAAACCTCCCTGGTCTTTGTGGTTTAATCTGTGTTTGAAATTCACTGCTCGACTGAGGGACCTTACAGATAATTGTAGGTGTGGGGTACAGAGATGAGGTAGTCAATCAAAAATCATGTCCATGCAACTTATTATGTGACTTGTTAAGCAAATCTTTACTCCTGAACTTATTTAGGCTTGCCACAACAAAGGGGTTGAATACTTATTGACTGAAGACATTTCAGCACTTCATTTTTAATTAATTTGTTTAAATGTAGAAAAACATAATTCCACTTTGACATTATGGGGTATTGTGTGTAGGCATGTGACAAAAAAATCTAAACTTAATCCATTTTAAATTTAGGCTGTAACACAACAAAATGTGGAAAAAGTCAAGGGGTATGAATACTTTCTGAAGGCACTGTAGACTTATTTAGGAAAAGTCAAGGACAAGGGGGACATGACTTTAAAAATGTAATTAAACATTTACATTTGTTTTGAGTCATTATGATACTCTCTGCCTTTCTAGTGTTAATATAAACAATCACAAATAATTCAATCATATTTCGTTTCGGAAGGTCATAAGAAACATGATACAAGGCAATTTATTTCAAAAGATCATAATAGCATGTTTTGAGTTGTATTTATCTGTGCTTAGTAGCCAAGGCTATGGCTGCACCATGCCAATGAAATCAACTTGACATCACAGGCCCTGCACTATCACAGTCAACACACATATATTTTACACTAAGTATATAACGGAATATAACAGAAGAAAATATAAAATATATTTTTCCCAATTGGCTTTTGCTGATTGTCACCAATAGACTACTCACATGGGGAATGCATGGAGCCACGGTTATTCTAGGAAAAAGTTATATTTTGAAACAGAGACCATACGAGCAATTTGTTGTTTTCTTTAGGCAGAAATAGGTTAATTAGAAACCTTGGAATCTGCTCCTTCTGATAGGGTACTCTGTAGGATGATATGGAAGAAGTGCTATTTGTTAAGCTCCTGCCCTTCTTTGTCAATGTATGCTGTCAATGCACACTGCGCAGGTCATCAGTCTCTTCATTCTCTTTTTGACAATTGATAATATATTCACCCATCAGACTATTGTAAATATAATCTTGTCTATAGGCCACATCTATTATTATTATTATTATTATTATTATTATATGTGTGAAATTAGCTTCAACATAGTTTAGGTGTAGTTTTGACGACCCAGCTGGGCAGACAACTGTTGTCTTACAGTCAGAAAATACACGATCATCTTATTTTAGTATTTACAGTCTATGCGCTTCTGGATGAATCAATAAATTTTCTGACTGATTACAATTTACATTTGGTGTCCTGAGGTTTCTTATGACCTATTTTAACATAATACATGCATTAATTTAGCAATGTATTATTTATTATGGAATATTTATACAATTGAAATATCAACCGTCATGGCCATTCTAGTAGTTGTGGAATTCTGCCGCTCCGAGTGTTAAGTTACTGGAAAATGCACAATAACCTCTTAACAGTGCAGATCTTGATAGAATAGATATTACATTTAACTTTGCAAGCCAGCTTAATGTAACTCTTGGTTTTGCTTTAGCTTATGCTGGTCACCAGTGTACAAAAGACAGCGAAGGCTGGTCACCAGTGAAAACACAACGAAGGCTGGTCAGCAGCAAAAACACAACGAAGGCTGGTCAGCAGCAAAAATACAATGAAGGCTGGTCAGCAGCGAAAACACAACGAAGGCTGGTCAGCAGCGAAAACACAATTAAGGCTGGTCAGCAGCGAAAACACAATGAAGACTGGTCTTACAGCAGAACCATCTAGCCCATGCTGGTCAGACCAGCTTGACCATGCTGGTCAGACCACCTTGACCAGCACTGACCAGCATGACATTTATGCTGGTCTATGCAGTTCTTTCAGCAGGGAAGGTCAACATTTGTCCCTAATGTATGAATAAACATTCTGTGTAAAGTGTCTGTTGCTTCCACAGTTTTATAATAATATAATGCCATTTAGCAGACGCTTTTATCCAAAGCGACTTACATTCATGCGTGCATACATTTATTTTTGTGTATGGGTGGTCCCGGGGATCGAACCCACTACCTTGGCGTTACAAGCACCGTGCTCTACCAGCTGAGCTACAGAGGACCAACATAGTTTAGGTGTAGTTCATTGTAACTGATGATATGGAATTGCCCATAAACAAATAGTTGCATGATTTTTGTTGTGATTATTGTTGAAATTTCATAACTACAAACACTTGTGATGTGAGTCCATGTAGGTGAATAAGATGACATGTAGTGCCACACACACACGCAACATTGAACATTGGCTGTTTGATGGTTCCACAGCGCCTCCGGATTCTACTGTTTCCATGGTTCCTGTTGAAAGGCAACAGGCGGGGAGAGATGAAGAGAGAGAGAGAGAGAGGGGGGGCAGTGGGGTGGAAAGGTAGAATGGGAAGGAAGTGACTGTACAGGATGTCTGTGTGTGTGTGTGTGTGTGTGTGTGTGTGTGTGTGTGTGTGTGTGTCTGAGTATCACTGAGATAGAGGTTTTAAATAGCAAGGCGATTGATGTTCATTTTTAATGAGGATGCCAATTATCTCATAAGAACAGACTGTCCTTCTTTTAAGAATGAATACTGGAAGTGGCCATTAATGTGGTTGTACAGTATGTTCCTCAGAGAGAGCATCAGACAGAGATTGAATAGCTGAAGGTAAGCAGAGGTTCCTGCACTTTAATATTAGCTGGAGTAAAGTGTTGGTCCCATGTTTCATGAGCTGAAATAAAAAATCCCAGAAATGTTCCATACACACAAATAGCTTTACATCCACAAATTTGGCCACAAATTTGTTTACATCCCTGTTAGTGAGCATTTCTCATTTGACAACATAATCCATCCACCTAACAGGTGTGGCATATCAAGAAGCTGATTAAATAGCATGATCATTACACAGGTGCACCTTGTGCTGGGGACAATAAAATGTGCAGCTTTGTCACACAACACAATGCCACAGATTTCTCAAGTTTTGAGGGCGCGTGCAGTTGGCATGCTGACTGCAGGAATGCCACCAGAGCTTTTTCCAGAGTATTGCATGTTCATTTCTCTAACATAAGCCACCTCCAACGTCGTTTTAGATAATTTGTCAGTATGTCCAACCGGCCTGACAACCGCAGACCACGTGTAACCACACCAGCCCAGGACCTCCACATCCGGCTTCTTCACCTGCGGGATCGTCTGAGACCAGCCACCCGGACATCTGATGAAACTGAGCAGTATTTCTGTCTGTTATAAAGCCCTTTTTTTTATTTACTTATATGAACTGTAACTCAGTAAAATCGTTGAAGTTGTTGCATGTTATGTTTATACTTTTGTTCAGTATATATATATCACTGCCAAAGTATTGGCTTGGTGACCAAAACAATTATCTCCATTGATCAATACGTAAAGAGTAATTTAAAGGTCATAAACAGTCAAAATCATGTTTTTCATGACATTTGATGATATTTGGATGAAACCAGATCAAAGTATGATGATCAAAGTAAGAAAAATTACTGTTGCTTCTACATTGATACAGTTTGATCATAAAGTTTCTGGTCCCCTCCCCCATGTCAAACACTTGGATTCAGGAGGCTGGATTATTAAGGGGATATGGTGACATCACCCTAACTCTCATTTTAATACACCAATCTTAACATTATATTATCTTACCTAATTTAAATAAGTACCGCCTCGTAACCAACATCGGAGAAGGCGTGTTTGCAGAGGGGCGTGGTTTATATAGCTAGATAGCTACTCTACTGGTGCCAAAATTTGACTGCAGGGTGTCTGCAAATATAATTAAAAGTTTACACTATTAATCTATGCCAAAGATACTTATATGTTTCCCCTTCCATCTGTGTCTGGTGTTAGCTAGTTACTGGCAAGCTAGATCTTCAGCCAGCAAAAGGGGGAGAAGGGTCGTTCAAAACTCTGACGCAGTTGTCATGTCAACACATCCGTCAGTGCTGCTGTGAACTGCATCACAAGAGACATGCCAAACAGGAGATGTATAAAACACAATGACATCATTGATGCAATTTCCATGTTGTTTGAGCTGATTTGTGTATCACCAAATTTGCTCGAGATGATTTTACTGCAACACTGCATCCAAGTTTCTTGACATAGGCATTTCAAAGAGCTGTCAGTCAAGGTGAGCTCAAGAATAGAAACTCCCCACCCACTCAGCCTGTCTTTTCAAATATCTGATTCCCAAATTTTAAGCATTTCTATCCCCAACAAATATTATGGGTGATATTTTAGTCACTCAAAAGGCTATTTTACATGGGAATCAGAATGACTTTTCAGGACATTTAAGAATCCTCTGAAGGGCCAAACTATGTGGATCGAGTTTGAGGGAGGTGATACAGTGGGGAAAAAAAGTATTTAGTCAGCCACCAATTGTGCAAGTTCTCCCACTTAAAAAGATGTGAGAGGCCTGTAATTTTCATCATAGGTACACGTCAACTATGACAGACAAAATGAGAAAAAAATTCCAGAAAATCACATTGTAGGATTTTTAATGAATTTATTTGCAAATTATGGTGGAAAATAAGTATTTGGTCAATAACAAAAGTTTCTCAATACTTTGTTATATACCCTTTGTTGGCAATGACACAGGTCAAACGTTTTCTGTAAGTCTTCACAAGGTTTTCACACACTGTTGCTGGTATTTTGGCCCATTCCTCCATGCAGATCTCCTCTAGAGCAGTGATGTTTTGGGGCTGTCGCTGGGCAACACAGACTTTCAACTCCCTCCAAAGATTTTCTATGGGGTTGAGATCTGGAGACTGGCTAGGCCACTCCAGGACCTTGAAATGCTTCTTACGAAGCCACTCCTTCGTTGCCCGGGCGGTGTGTTTGGGATCATTGTCATGCTGAAAGACCCAGCCACGTTTCACCTTCAATGCCCTTGCTGATGGAAGGAGGTTTTCACTCAAACTCTCATGATACATGGCCCCATTTATTCTTTCCTTTACACGGATCAGTCGTCCTGGTCCCTTTGCAGAAAAACAGCCCCAAAGCATGATGTTTACACCCCCATGCTTCACAGTAGGTATGGTGTTCTTTGGATGCAACTCAGCATTCTTTGTCCTCCAAACACGACGAGTTTAGTTTTTACCAAAAAGTTATATTTTGGTTTCATCTGACCATATGACATTCTCCCAATCCTCTTCTGGATCATCCAAATGCACTCTAGCAAACTTCAGACGGGCCTGGACATGTACTGGCTTAAGCAGGGGGACACGTCTGGCACTGCAGGATTTGAGTCCCTGGCAGCGTAGTGTGTTACTGATGGTAGGCTTTGTTACTTTGGTCCCAGCTCTCTGCAGGTCATTCACTAGGTCCCCCCGTGTGGTTCTGGGATTTTTGCTCACCGTTCTTGTGATCATTTTGACCCCACGGGGTGATATCTTGCGTGGAGCTCCAGATCGAGGGAGATTATCAGTGGTCTTGTATGTCTTCCATTTCCTAATAATTGCTCCCACAGTTGATTTCTTCAAACCAAGCTGCTTACCTATTGCAGATTCAGTCTTCCCAGCCTGGTGCAAGTCTACAATTTTGTTTCTGGTGTCCTTTGACAGCTCTTTGGTCTTGGCCATAGTGGGGTTTGGAGTGTGACTGTTTGAGGTTGTGGACAGGTGTCTTTTATAATGATAACAAGTTCAAACAGGTGCCATTAATACAGGTAACGAGTGGAGGACAGAGGAGCCTCTTAAAGAAGAAGTTACAGGTCTGTGAGAGCCAGAAATCTTGCTTGTTTGTAGGTGACCAAATACTAATTTTCCACCATAATTTGCAAATAAATTCATTAAAAATCCTACAATGTGATTTTCTGGATTTATTTTCCTTAATTTGTCTGTCATAGTTGTTGTGTACGTATGATGAAAATTACAGGCCTCTCTCATCTTTTTAAGTGGGAGAACTTGCACAATTGGTGGCTGACTAAATACTTTTTTTCCCCACTGTATGTGAGAGTTGTGTTCGTTTTGATTAATCTTGTTTTATTTATTGTATTGATATTATTTATTGTATGTTCATGTTCAGAGGGCTCCCTAGCAAATGAGACCCTGGTCTCAATGGTGACCTACCCTGTAGAAATAAAAGTAAAAATAAATAAAAATAATAATAATAATAATAATGTCATATGCCAAATTAGGAACCACTTTGTTCACTCTGTAGACTAGATGTCATAGCCATGCATTTCTGGAATTGACAGGCATTACATGCATTTGAGCAAAGATGCAAGATACATGCATCTCTGGAATACATTTTAAGAGAGAGAAAAATTGAGAGATACAGAGAAAATGGGTAAGCGAGAACGAGAGAGAGCGAGAGAGAAAGAGATGGATGTCAGCAAGTATGGGAACACTGCTTGAAGAAAATGAGAACATTCTGGTCTCATTTTGAACAAAAGAGCACAAGAAAATGACAGTTGACATAGTCACTATACTCCTCTAAAGAGCTGCCTTCACCCGGTGTCTTTGAGATGTATTTTGGGCTACAGTCACCGTGAGAGACTCTGGGAGATATGAATAGCCTCCATTCTTGTTTCGAGTCTGTCTTTAAAAAAGTCGCTAATGGTGGTGATCTGCGTTCAGCTCCAAGTAAACAACTTTGACTGCCACTAATAGATCACTGCTAAGAGAAAGAGCCTGAGAGAGAAGCTGAAAAAATTCATAATAACATCTCATATTTGTTTTATTCAATACTGGCAAATGGCTTCTGGCAGCTGGCAGCTTCTATCCACATTATTCAAAAAAAAGAGTATAGAAATACAGTAGTATAGTGTAGCTCTCTAATACATTCACCTCAGATCTTAACTATTTGAAAAGCAGAAACTAGACAGAGTTAGGAGAGGGTTGTCGGCCATTTCAGACCGATGTCCCCTGCTCTGACCTCTAACATCTCACTCCTCTAGGGAAACTCCTGAGCTGTGACACCAAACACATGCATCACACACACAAACATATACACACACACATTCCCTGACACCTATGACACTGTCATACTGTTTACACACACATACACACACACACACACACACACACACACACACACACACACACACGTATTTCCTGACACCTATGAGGTAACATGAGAAAAAGAGGGATGGACAAAGTTTTAGGGAGAAGGGCTGAAGCGCGTGAGCGGCTTTGATCCTCTGAGGGGTTTAGATTAATTTAGAGGTCAAAGGTCATGGCGGGTTGATCCCAGGGCCGTCACTCAGACTAGAGGTCACCAAGGTCCCCCAGAGAAGAAGGTTAGGGTACTTAATCCTCTAAAACTGACCCCTCAAACACACACACACAGGCACGCAGACAGACACACACACACACATGTAGGCACTAGGCAGACACACACACACAGACACACGCACACCTCCTCATACACTAGCCTCACTTCACACTTCTGCCAATTACACTCTAATGTGCACATTCCTCCAATGACATGCACACACACCTCAACATCCCATTTTCACACAAACACACCCACCCACCCACACACAAACACACACACACGAGAGAGAGTTGATCTGACCGCTTGGCACGCAAGACCGGCCTCACATCACACAGATCGTGACCAGAAGAAAGTCTTTAGCCCATCACTTGTTTAACTCAACTTATGCAACACTTCACAACGAGGCACTTATACTCCCGCATAATGATTGCATCCCAAATGGCACCCTATTCCCTTTATAGTGCACTATGGGCCCTGGTCAAAAGTAGTGCCCAGTATAGGGAATACAGTGCCATTTGGGACACAACATAATGCCTTTCACACATCACTCCAGAACATCACAGCTCATTCATGACTAGAGGCCTAATCTTCTCATTAGATTACTAATACTTAATAAATAACAATTAATAAATAATAACTAATACTTAATAACTAATTACTAATACTTAATAATATCTAATACTTTATAAATAATAAATAATCCTTAATAAATAATTATGAATCCTTAATAAAGTATTACTAATACTTAATAAATAATAACTAATACTTAATAAATAATGACTAATACTTAATAAATAATAACTAATACTTAATAAATAATAACTAATCCTTAATAAATAATTACTAATACTTAATAAATAATTATGAATACTTAATACATTATTACTAATCCTTAATAAATAATTACTAATATTTAATAAATAATAACTCATCCTTAAAAAATAATTACTAATACTTAAGAGAATAAGGCTTTTCTCTTCAAATAACATTCAGAGCTTAAGTCAAGCTAAAGTCTCCTCCAGTTTGATAATGATTAATATAAGAACATGTATTTTCTCTCTGTTTGATAATGTCAATATGCATTTATGTAATCCTTTTGTGTCCTTGAGAGGAATACAAGCTTTTTATCATTTTAATTGTTTGGGTGCTTCTTGTTCCTCCTACAACACAAGGGCAAATATAAAAGTAGCTTGACTCAATATGCGTCCCAAATGGCACCCTATACCCTATAGCAGTGTTATCCATCTCCAGTCCACCAGTACCCCCAACCGTACACATTTTAACTGTAGCCCTGGACAAGCACACCTGATTCAACTGGTCAACTAATCATCAAGCCCTCATTTAGTTTAATTACAGTGAGGGAAAAAAGTATTTGATCCCCTGCTGATTTTGTACATTTGCCCACTGACAGACATGATCAGTCTATAATTTTAATGGTAGGTTTATTTGAACAGTGAGAGACAGAATAACAACAAAAAAATCCAGAAAAACGCATGTCAAAAATGTTATAAATTGATTTGCATTTTAATGAGGGAAATAAGTATTTGACCCCTCTGCAAAACATGACTTAGTACTTGGTGGCAAAACCCTTGTTGGCAATCACAGAGGTCAGACGTTTCTTGTAGTTGGCCACCAGGTTTGCACACATCTCAGGAGGGATTTTGTCCGACTCCTCTTTGCAGATCTTCTCCAAGTCATTAAGGTTTCGAGGCTGACGTTTGGCAACTCGAACATTCAGCTCCCTCCACAGATTTTCTATGGGATTAAGGTCTGGAGACTGGCTAGGCCACTCCAGGACCTTAATGTGCTTCTTCTTGAGCCACCCCTTTGTTGCCTTGGCCGTGTGTTTTGGGTCATTGTCATGCTGGAACACCCATCCACGACCCATTTTCAATGCCCTGGCTGAGGGAAGGAGGTTCTCACCCAAGATTTGACAGTAAATGGCCCCGTCCATCGTCCCTTTGATGCGGTGAAGTTGTCCTGTCCCCTTAGCAGAAAAACACCCCCAAAGCACAATGTTTCCACCTCCATGTTTGACGGTGGGGATGGTGTTCTTGGGGTCATAGGTAGCATTCCTCCTCCTCCAAACACGGCGAGTTGAGTTGATCCCAAAGAGCTCCATTTTGGTCTCATCTGACCACAACACTTTCACCCAGTTCTCCTCTGAATCATTCAGATGTTCATTGGCAAACTTCAGACGGGCCTGTATATGTGCTTTCTTGAGCAGGGGGACCTTGCGGGCGCTGCAGGATTTCAGTCCTTCATGGCGTAGTGTGTTACCAATTGTTTTCTTGGTGACTATGGTCCCAGCTGCCTTGAGATCATTGACAAGATCCTCCCGTGTAGTTCTGGGCTGATTCCTCACCGTTCTCATGATCATTGCAACTCCACGAGGTGAGAACTTGCATGGAGCCCCAGGCCGAGGGAGATTGACAGTTATTTTGTGTTTCTTCCATTTGCGAATAATCGCACCAACTGTTGTCACCTTCTCACCAAGCTGCTTGGCGATGGTCTTGTAGCCCATTCCAGCCTTGTGTAGGTCTACAATCTTGTCCCTGACATCCTTGGAGAGCTCTTTGGCCTTGGCCATGGTGGAGAGTTTGGAATCTGATTGATTGATTGCTTCTGTGGACAGGTGTCTTTTTACAGGTAACAAACTGAGTTTAGGAGCACTCCCTTTAAGAGTGTGCTCCTAATCTCAGCTCGTTACCTGTATAAATGACACCTGGGAGCCAGAAATCTTTCTGATTGAGAGGGGGTCAAATACTTATTTCCCTCATTAAAATGTAAATCAATGTATAAACATTTTGACATGCGTTTTTCTGGATTTTTTTGTTGTTATTCCGTCTCTCACTGTTCAAATAAACCTACTATTAAAATTATAGACTGATAATTTCTTTGTCAGTGGGCAAACATACAAAATCAGCAGGGGATCAAATACTTTTTTCCCTCACTGTAAGTGAGTTTGTCCAGGGCTACCCAAACAATTGTGCATTTTTGGGGTACTTGAGGACTGGCGTTGGGAAACACTGCCCTACATAGTGCACTACTCTTGACCAGATCTGGTCAAAAGTAGTGCACTATATAGGGGATAGGCGGCAATTTGGTCCCTGATAAAAAACTTGGTAGCTAGAACAATTAGTCAGTCTGCCACCCATTAAAAACCACAAATGGCTTAAAATTATTAGTCAAAATGTTTGACAGCAATGCTGCAATGCTACAAATCAAATTCAAGTCAATTGGGAACAGATCTTTAAAGTCCCAATACCTTGGCATTGGGTCTATGAATTGATATATAAAACAACAATTGACACATCAGTTTGTTTCAATTTAAACTATTATATAAAATATTTGCTACAAAACAAATGCATAATATATGCGGCATTGAACGGTCAGCCTTGTGCAGACTCTGCAATGCGGAAACAGAATCAATAGGACATCTCTTCTGGTACTGTTCATCAGTGGCTCGCTTTTGGAGTCAGGTCCAGGAATGGTTATTATGTCATAATATGGTTCAGATGGACCTGCAAACAGGGGATCTGAAAAACCATGATCAGTCAACGGGAAATATCATTATGCTCTTGGGTAAAGTATTTATTTTTATGGCAATATCGGTAGAAAAGTTACAAATAGGCAGGTTCAAGACCCTCGTAACACATCACAGTAAAATGGAGGGATGTATTGCAAAAGGTATTGTACTGGGAAAGATGGGTTTATCTGTGGACATCGGAGGGTTGGAGTTAAGATCAGAATGAATAGTGGATTGGCCGCTGTGGGTGAAAATCCAGCCCTTGAAGAAAGACAAATTTGGAATATATGTATAAAAAAATGTAAAATCACACTCTCTTAATTTCTTATTTTTTTATTGATTATTTCTTTATTGTCTCTCTTTTTTTAACCCACTCTTTTTCGTTATCCATTCCAGTCCACCTTCCATCTCTCCCTTGCTGTTTCTTTCCCTCTCCATCCCATTTCTTCAGTCCACTCTTTACTCTATATCCTTACTTTTTCAGGCAGGGAATATCCTGCAATAATTGGCTGTTGAGACTGTTCTGTTCAGTTTTATTTAATTTGATAGGAATACACCACGAAGCTGCCCCTTCTTGACGTTGTAAAGAAAAATTTAAGTTTTAAAGTTAATTTCCTGGAATTCTACACATTTTACCATGGGGTGTAGAGAAAATGTTGCAGTTTTAAAGGCCCAGTGCAGTCAAAAATGAGATTTTTCTGAGTTTTATATACACTAAGTGTACAAAACATTAGGAACACCTTCCTAATATGGAGTTTCCCTCAGAACAGCCTCAATTCATCGGGGCATGGACTCTACAAGGTGTCAAAAGCGTTCCACAGGGATGCTAGCCCATGTTGACGCCAATGCTTCCCGCAGTTGTGTCAAGTTGGCTGGATGTCCTTTGGGTGGTGGACCATTCTTGATACACTCGGGAAACGGTTGAGCGTGAAAAACCCAGCAGTGCTGCAGTTCTTGACACAAACCGGTGCACCTGGCACCTACTACCATACCCCGTTCAAAGGCACTTATATCTTTTTTCTTGCCCATTCACCCTCTGAATTGCACACATACTGTTAAAGTCGGAAGTTTACATACACCTTAGCCAAATACATTTAAACTCAGTTTTTCACAATTCCTGACATTTAATCCTAGTAAAAATTCCCCGTCTTAGGTCAGTTAGGATCACCACTTTATTTTAAGAATGTGAAATGTCAGAATAATAGTAGAGAGAATGATTTATTTCAGCTTTTATTTCTTTCATCCCATTCCCAGTGGGTCAGAAGTTTACATACACTCAATTAGTATTTGGTAGCATTGCCTTTAAATTGTTTAACTTGGGTCAAAGGTTTCGGGTAGCCTTCCACAAGCTTCCCACTAATTGTGGTCCTCTGTAGCTCAGCTGGTAGAGCACGGCGCTTGTAACGCCAAGGTAGTGGGTTCGATCCCCGGGACCACCCATACACAAAAAAATGTATGCACGCATGACTGTAAGTCGCTTTGGATAAAAGCGTCTGCTAAATGGCATATTATTATTATTATTATTATATTATTATTATTATAAGTTGGGTGAATTTTGGCCCATTCCTCCTGACAGAGCTGGTGTAACTGAGTCAGGTTTGTAGGCCTCCTTGCTCGCACACGCCTTTTCAGTTCTGCCCACAACTTTTCTATAGGATTGAGGTCAGGGCTTTGTGATGGCCACTCCAATACCTTGACTTTGTTGTCCTGAAGCCATTTTGCCACAACTTTGGAAGCATGCTTGGGGTCATTGTCCATTTGGAAGACAGATTTGCGACCAAGCTTTAACTTCCTGACTGATGTCTTGAGATGTTGCTTCAATATATCACATAATTTTCCTTCCTCATGATGCCATCTATTTTGTGAAGTGCACTAGTCCCTCCTGCAGCAAAGCACCCCCACAGCATGATGCTGCCACCCCCGTGCTTCACGGTTGGGATGGTGTTCTTCGGCTTTCAAGCACCCCCTTTTTCCTCCAAACATAACGATGGTCATTATGGACTAACAGTTCTATTTCTCCAAAATGTGCAGTTGCAAACCATTGTCTGGCTTTTTTTATGGCGGTTTTGGGGCAGTGGCTTCTTCCTTCTTCCTTTCAGGTTATGCCGATATAGGACTCGTTTTAATGTGGATATAGATACTTTTGTACCTGTTTCCTCCAGCATCATCACAAGGTACATTGCTGTTGTTCTGGGATTGATTTGCACTTTTCGCACCAAAGTACGTAAATCTCTAGGAGACAGAACACATTTTTTCGGAGGTCTTGGATGATTTCTTTTGATTTTCCCATGATGTCAAGCAAAGAGGCACTGAGTTTGAAGGTAGGCCTTGAAATACATCCACAGGTACACCTCCAATTGACTCAAATGATGTCAATTAGCCTATCAGAAGCTTCTAAAGCCATGACATCATTTTCTGGAATTTTCCAAGCTGTTTAAAGGCACAGTCAACTTAGTGTATGTAAACTTCTGACCCACTGGAATTGTGATACAGTGAATTATAAGTTAAATAATCTGTCTGTAAACAATTGTTGTAAAAATTACTTGTGTCATGCACAAAGTAGATGTCCTAACCGACTTACCAAAACTATAGTTTGTTAACAAGACATTTGTGGAGTGGTTGAAAAACTAGTTTTAATGACGCCAACCTAAGTGTATGTAAACTTCCGACTTCAACTGTACACAATCCATTTCTCAACTGTATCAAGGCTTACAAATTCTTCTTTAACCTTTAACATTAGAGCAGGTGCTCCTAATGTTTTGTACACTCAGTGTATATTTCCACACTACGAGGTTGGAATAATACTGTGAAATTGTGAACATGATGATAATGCCCTTTTAGTGTAAGAGCTGTTTGACAAAACTGCCTGAAATTTCAACCTGTGTTGGTGGGATGGATTTTTGGCCTGCCTGGTGACATCACTAGTGAAAATCACCTGATTGCCTAAATTAGTTAATAGACAAATGACAGAGTTCCAAACCTCGCTGCCAATAACAGCTAATTATCAATTTTCCCCTCCCCACTAAGACCACTCCCAGACAGTCCTAGCAAAATTATTGCTTGAGAAATTGTTCTTGCTAAGAAGCAAATATATATATTTTTGACCATTTTAACTTAAAACAATCACAGTAAGGTACTTCATTGTTACCCATAAATGATTTGATATTGAGATAAAAATGGCTGCATTGGACCTTTAAAGCAAGGTTTCTGCAATTCTACAAATGTTGCCATGGGGCGGAGAGAAAACGTTGCAATTCTATACCAAATTTCATGCAATTCTACAAATGTTGTAATGACTTATGCCATGTTAATATGATATCTGAGTGAGAATGACTAACAACATCAATGGGGACCCCCTGGAGGTCAGGACCCCTTGGCACATGCCCTGCGTTCCCGGTCGGTATTCTAGTGTAGATCGCTGGCTAGACTAACTACCAATCTAAACAGTGTTAGCTGACATGGCTAATTGAGTGACTGTCAGTGATTGACATAAGAGAAAAATTGCTGATGCACAACCAAATTTGGTGTATTCTACTACTCTTACTGTCAATAGTAAGTTGAGACCCCTCCCTCCCTCCCTCCATCTGTCTATGTGTGTTTGATGAGGTGAGGATATGTATGATTGTATATTGGATTCCCACAGTGTGAATGCTTGATCACGACCCTGATGTTCCCTGAAGTACGGTTTGTCTGTGTGTGTGGGTGGATGGATGGTGGATGGAATGACTACCATTGATTATCAGGAGACATGTGCACATAAAACACAAACATACACACAAAAACAAACACACGGAAACACACACACACACACACTTAGCTCCAACCCTAATCTAGCGCACTTGATTCTAATAATTAGCTGGGGTTGAAACAAAAACCTACAGAAGGGTAGCTTTCCAGGAACAGGGTTGGAGAGCCCAGATCTAGGTAGAGTCAGTGACAGTGAAAATGAACTAAAACCACCTGGACGCCATGACTGCAGGTCTGGCAAGTAATCATCAGAGGGAGCGATATAAAAGAGAGAGAGAACAAACGTGTTGACTGTTTGTGAGAAAAACAGACGGAGAGACAGGAGAGGGCATTTTGATAAAACAAAAAATCTAATTTCGGCATTTACTTCAGAATCTCAGAGTGGCTCTAGGTCATTTCAGAAAGAGGTTTTAATGTAACAGATATGGATCAGATATGGATCAGAACTTTCATTATGGATCCAGATGCAACATGTAAAGTGTTGGTCCCATGTTTCATGAGGTTAAATAAAAGATCCCAGAAATGTTCCATATGCACAAAAGCTTATTTCTCAAAAAAAAAAGGTGCACACATTTGTTTACACCCCTGTAAGTGAGCATTTCTCCTTTGCCAATGAGTGGCATATCAAGAAGCAGATTAAACAATATGCTCATTACACAGGTGCACCTTGTGCTGGGGACAATAAAAGGCCACTCTAAAATGTGCAGTTTTGTCACACAACACAATGCCACAGATGTCTCAAGTTTTGAGGGAGTGTGCAATTGGCATGCTGACTGCAGGAATGTCCACCAGAGCTGTTGCCAGAGAATTTAATAATAATTTATCTACCATAAGCTGCCTCCAACGTTGTTTTAGAGAATTTGGCAGTACGTCCAACCGGCCGCACAACCGCAGACCACGTGTATGGCGTCGTGTGGGCGAGCTGTTTACTGCTGTCAACGTTGTGAACATAGTGCCCCATGGTGGCAGGGGGGTTATGGTATGGGCAGGCATAAGATATGGACAACAAACACAATTGCATTTTATCGATGGCAATTTGAATGCACAGAGATACCGTGACGAGGTCCTGAGGCCCATTGTCATGCCATTCATCCGCCACCATCACCTCATGTTTCAGCATGATAATGCACGGCCCCATGTCGCAAGGATCTTTTCACAATTCCTGAAAGCTGAAAATGTCCCAGTTCTTCCATGGCCTGCATACTCACCAGACATGTCACCCATTGAGCATGTTTGGGATGCTATGGATCGACGTGTACGACAGCGTGTTCCAGTTCACGCCAATATTCAGCAACTTCGCACAGCCATTGAAGAGGAGTGGGACAACATTGCACAGGCCACAATCAACAGCCTGATCAACTCTACGCGAAATGAGTCAAATGGTGGTCACACCAGATGCTGACTGGTTTTCTGATACACTCCCCTACATTTTTAAAAAGGTATCTGTGACCAACAGATGCATACAGTGCTTGTGCATATAAAAAGGAATGGGTCTTTCTCATCAATGCTTTGCCTTTTGATGCCATTTTCAGAAGTGTATAAACTTGCTGAAATTGTAATATGCTGTATTGGCTCAATAACAATGAATTTATTTGTGTCTTGGCTAGATGGTCTTGGATGTACCCAAGTCCGAGGTCAGGTCAATTATACATAAAGCACAGACAGGGAGGTGTGGGAAGACAGGAGAGGAGGGGGGAAGATGAACGGAGGAAGAGGGGAGGTGAAAGCAGATGAGGGGACCACAGGCACTCCAACCCCATCATGAGGACAAGCACTCATAAACTTCTGTTCTCCAGAGAATAGGCAGTAGCCAGTGTGTGTGTGTGTGTGTGTGTGTGTGTGTGTGTGTGTGGGTTGGCTCTTCTACCTAAAATCCCCAAAGGTCCACACAAGGATAGTAAAACAAGGAAGATTGTCCCACGTGGGGACATTTCCCACATCCCCATGAAGACAAAGGCTATTTTAAGCTTAGGGGTTAGGTTTAGGGTTAGGGTTAGAATCAGGGTTAAGGTAAGGGGTTTGTCACGCCCTGGCTCTGGGGACTCTCGTATGTTGAGCCAGGGTGTTTATTTTGTTTAGGTTCTAGTCGTTGTCTATCTATGTTGGCCTGAGTGACTCCCAATCAGAGGCAACGAGTGTCAGCTGGTTGTCTCTGATTGGGAGCCATATTTAACTGTCTGTCTTTCACTTTGTGTTTGTGGTTTCTTATTCTGATTTGTGTTATACTGTAGACGTCACGTTATCGTTGTTGTTTTGATCGTGTGATCATTCTAAATAAATATATAATGTTCGCATTCAGCGCTGCGCCTTGGTCTCTCCCTGACGTTCGTGACAGAAGAAACCACCAAAACCAGACCAAGCAGCGTGTCCAGGAGCCACCGCTAGAAGATCTCCGTGGCAACCTCGACTGGGTCAAGCCTAGTGAGGAGCAGAGAGGGTGGACTTGGGACCAGTTGAGGAAGAGCTTCGACTGGGTCAAGCCCATTGAGGAGCTGAATGGCGGGAGTTGGAGACAGAGGAGCGAGAGTTGGGCGAGAACGATGGAGGCCTGGCCCACGGGGAGGAGAGACCCCCAGACATTTTTTAGGGGGGGGCTCACGACGTCGGGGCAGCAGGAGGCCGCGATAGAGCGGTCCAGCGGGTTGGCAGAGGAGGCCGCCAGGTTACGGGAGTCACTGGTCACCAGGGGGAAGGAGGTTGTAGAGGCACGGCGAGAGGTACTGGCGTGTGTTGCCAGTCCGGTCCGGCCTGTTCCTGATCCCCACGTAGGGCCAGTGGTGTGTGTTCCCAGTACGGTCCGGCCTGTTCCTGCCACTCCCACCAAGTCAGTGGTGCGTTTCGTCAGCCCGGCGCGGCCCGTTCCTGCTCCCCGCACCAAGTCAGTGGTGCGCGTCGTCAGCCCGGTCCGGCCCATTCCTGCTCCCCGCACCAAGTCAGTGGTGCGCGTCGTCAGCCCGGTCCGGCCCATTCCTGCTCCCCGCACCAAGTCAGTGGTGCGCGTCGTCAGCCCGGTCCGGCCCATTCCTGCTCCCCGCACCAAGTCAGGGGTGCGCTTCTTCAGCCCGGTCCGGCCCATTCCTGCTCCCCGCACCAAGTCAGGGGTGCGCTTCGTCAGCCCGATCCGGTCCATTCCTGCTCCCCGCACCAAGGCAGTGGTGCGCTTCGTCAGCCCGGCTCGGCCCGTTCCTGCTCCCCGCACCAAGTCAGTGGTGTGCTTCGTCAGCCCAGTCCGGCCTGTCCCTGCTCCACGCACCAAGCCTACGGTGTGCGTCGTCAGCCTGGTAAGGCCCGTTCCTCCTCCACGCACCAAGCCAGGGGTGCGCGTCGTCAGTCCAGCACAACCCGTGCCTGGGTCATGTCCGGAGCCGGATCCGCCGCCGAGGCGGAGTGCCCACCCGGTCCCTCCCCTGTTGTGGTTGGTTGGCGCGGTCGGAGTCCGTGCCTTTGGGGGGGGGTACTGTCACGCCCTGGCTCTGGGGACTCTCGTATGTTGAGCCAGGGTGTTTATTTTGTTTAGGTTCTAGTCGTTGTCTATCTATGTTGGCCTGAGTGACTCCCAATCAGAGGCAACGAGTGTCAGCTGGTTGTCTCTGATTGGGAGCTATATTTAACTGTCTGTCTTTCACTTTGTGTTTGTGGTTTCTTGTTCTGATTTGTGTTATACTGTAGATGTCACGTTATCGTTGTTGTTTTGATCGTGTGATCATTCTAAATAAATATATAATGTTCGCATTCAGCGCTGCGCCTTGGTCTCTCCCTGACGTTCGTGACAGGGTTAGTGGTTAGGTTTAGGTTTAAGGTTTGGGTTACGAGTTAAGTTTAGGGTTAGGGAAAATTTGATTTTGAATGGAAATCAATTTTAAGTCCCCACGAGGATAGAAGAACAAAACTGTGTGTGTAACCAGGCTGTCAGTTTGTGGGTGGTAGTATTGATCCAGTGTCCTAGCTTAGTAAAGCCCAGTAAATCCAGTGATCTGACGCACTAAAGCCTCCTGGCTGGCTGCAACGCACAGCTTCAGACACGTCAACAAGCACACGGATCAACACTCAATCACACACACTTACACATAAACACACACACATTCCTCCTCTCTCTCCAGCTCCTTTTCTCAACTCCCATCACGATCCAGCATTCCTCTAGATTCTACAAGCTTAGACTCGACAGGCTTCTCCACACTCTGCCCTACACACAATGGACTGGCAGGCAAAAGACAGAGAGACAGAGAAAAGGTACTATATTGCTGCTGTTGCATCATCTCAACTCAGACAATCAAAAGACAGAGAGAACTGCTACTGCAACATTGGCAGTCAAAGGAGAGAGCAAAGTAGGATCATATCACAGCGCGTCTGTGTGGATGTGTACACACGTATGTGCACGACTGCATGTGTGTGTGTTCGACTGATGTTCTACACACACAATGACTACATCATAGGCAGTGAGAGTCAGTGGGGCCCGTGGAGACCATTAAGAAGTGCCGTTTCTGGCAGTGGGTTGCCATGGTGACAAACCCAATGGTATAAGAGTGCCAGCGTTAGGAAGCGATAGGCCAGGGGATATAGCTAATAAATAGGCAATCAGGTTGATTAGCTCCATCCTGAAGGGGTTTGCTCCATTTCACACTGTCTCTGGAATTAGGGGCTTTCACAATTCTGCTTTCAGTTGAGCAAGGGAGGGTCTCGTACATGATTGCTCATGTTCCACAAGTACAAGGGCGCACTCATGCACACACACACACACACACACACACACACACAGACACACACACACACACACACCCTGTACTCCTCTGATAATGCCTTACAGAGGTCCATTGAGTGGTTTGAATAGAGACTTTGTAGAGGTAAGAAAGGGGACAGAGCAGACCCAACACACACCCTGGGTCTAAGTAGAGGCTTTAGAGAACACATTGAAGAGATGCATTACACAAGACTATAGCCCCTTCACACACGCACTACAGACAGACCCAAACCCCTCCATTCATTCATCAATCACTAGAGCCCATTGGTTTGTGTGGCAGACAGGAGAAAGCTCAATGGACTTCTTTAGTGATTCCATTCAAAAGGCATTTATTTAACCTATGGTAACCTAGTGTAGGCAGAATAGGGTATGGGATTGTGTCATAGTTGATGATGTGTTGAGATGTTTTTTTTTTACTGTCACAATAAAAAGGTGCAGTAAAATATGTTGTTTTATGGGGTCATCCATAGTAGTATGGCTCCCCTGGAGCAAATAAGGGTTAAGTGCCTTGCTCAAGGGCACATCGGCAGATTTTCACCTTGTCGGGTATTTGAACCAGCGACCTTTTGGTTACTGGCTCAACAGTCTAACCTCTAGGCTAGAGTACATGCCATCCTAGGGTAGATGAGCTTTTTCTTGTTGACCTGGGGTTAAGGGTTATAGGTTAAGGTTAGGGTAAGTTGTTAAGATCAACATTAGAGGTTAGAAAGTGCTGTAGACTACATTCTCGCCAGAACATCATGACAACCATGTATTTGCAGAACACACAGATGGGTTGTGTGTGTGTGTGTGTGTGTGTGTGTGTGTGTGTGTGTGTGTGTGGGGGGGGGTCCATCTCTGTGTAATATGGAGTCAGCTACAGTATGTTGAGATGTATTAATTCCTCACCTCTCAGAGCGTGTGTGGAGTGTGTGTGTAGCGTGTGTTTTGAGCGTGTCCTTTCCACATGAGCACATGTGTCAGACGTGTATAAAGGCCATAACATGAAGAACGTGTCCACACCTCTGACATAAACATGAACATGTGTGTGTGCGTGTTTGCATGTGTGTGTGTTTGTGTGTGTTTGCGTGTGTGTGTGCGTGCTTGTAGGTGGTTGTTTTGGACTTTCATGACTGAAATGTTAAAGTATCGTCTATATCAGACCTACTAATATCAGGTGATTTGAATGTCTGGTCACCTATTGTTTGACTGCATTTGCACAGGCAGCTCAATTCTGATCTTTTGCCCAATTATTGTTGCAGCTTAAGGACAGTATGGTTGCACATGTGCAGACACACACACACACACACACACACACACACCTGCCCCCCTCCCCCAACTACGGATCCCAGATCCATGGACACTCTGATAATACGCACATTAATCTCCATGGCTACGGAAGCCCTTGGGCATCACGACACAGTATAATAATATCCCATCAACATGCCCCAGGTAAAGGCCACCAAGCCAGGCCAGACATTGCTATCCACCTAACACTATACAGTAAGTGCTGTTGGATTGGCTAATTAACTATTAAATGCCAACGCTGTAATGTGCAGTGTAATACTAATCAATGTCTTCAGAGACAAAACCCAAGAGAGAGAACGAAAGAAAATTTACAAAATAGCAATTATAGTTACTGGGAATTAAGTTAAATATGCAAAAGAGGAAAAATTATATTATACTGAGTAATTCACTATCCACAACAGGTTGGTCACATTATGTTATCCAATCAGCGATCTCTTACACACTCTCTGTCACGGTTTCGGCCGAGACTGCTCCTCCTCCTGGTTCGGGCAGGCTTCGGCGTTCGCCGTCCCCGGAGTACTAGCTGCCACCGTTGAATGTTTCGTGGTGTGATTGCTTTGGTCTGTCTTGTACACCTGTGTCTGTTTGTGTTCTGATTACGTGTCCTATAAGTTCCCTGTTTTGTATTGGTTAGATTGTGTGTTGTTGTCTGCCTGTATTTCGGAGCTGCGTGTTGACGCTCTGTTTGTTTGTTTAGTGTTTACGCATGGTTTACGTATTCACTCGCCTCTGTTTGTTTCGAGGCCGTGTATTGTATTTTTGCACTTTTGACTAGTAAAGTCTGTTGGACGAAGCCTCTGTGTCCTGCGCCTGACTCCTCCACCACATCCACATCGGTTCATCTGACAGAACAACACACCTACTATGGAGTCAGCAGGAGCAGCTGCGACACCCAAGTCGCTGGAGGATGATCCGGCAACTTGGGTCCGCCATGGACGAGGTGTCCAACACTCTGCGCCGGTTGGTTACTGGGGAGGTGCCCACGTCTTCTTACACCATCCCATCACCAACGGCCAGTCCTCCTCTCTCAGCACCGGAACCCAGGGGCATTCGGCATTCGCTCCCGAGGGCATATGACGGTTCTGCAGCCGGGTGTCAGGGGTTCCTCCTGCAGGTGGAACTTTACCTGGCTACCCTACACCCAGCGCCCTCGGGATACGAGAGCGTCTCCGCCCTCATCTCCTGTCTATCCGGCAAGGCGTTGGAGTGGGCCAACGCCGAATGGAGGGGAATAGACGCCGCTACCATCACCTACGCAGAGTTCTCCCGCCGCTTCAGGGCTGTCTTCGATCACCCACCTGAGGGAAAGGCGGCGGGGGAGCGTCTGTTCCACCTCCGACAGGGGAAGAGGAGCGCACAGGAGTTCGCCCTGGAGTTCCGGACTCTAGCGGCGGATGCGGGGTGGAATGAGAGGGCCCTCATCGACCATTACCGGTGTAGCCTACGAGAGGACGTTCGTCGTGAGCTGGTGTGCAGGGACACCAACCTATCCTTCGACCAGTTGGTGGACATCTACATCCATCTCGACACCCTGCTGGCTACCCGCGGACGTCCCGAGTGGGGGTCGTCCATTCCACCCTCCAGCACCTCTGAGCCGATTCCCATGGAGCTCGGGGGTGCTGGCGCTAGAGAGAGGAGGAGAGAGAACCCGAGGGGGGCCATCCCCTGCACCAACTGTGGCCGTGGAGGACACACCGCGGCCAGGTGCTGGGGAGGGTCTCCTGGGAGAGGGGACAACAGGTCACGCACAAAACGAGGGCAACACGGCTACCACCTCATAGACAGGGGGGACTGTGCGATAAATCTCCAAACAGGAGCGGCACTTCCGCGGAGCCGTGTGTATCCCCTGTCTCAAGAGGAGACTGCGGCTATGGAGACTTACATAGCCGAGTCCTTGGCACAGGGATACATACGGTCCTCCATTTCCCCGGTTTCCTCGAGTTTCTTCTTTGTGAAGAAGAAGGACGGGGGTTTGCGCCCGTGTATTGATTACCGTAGTCTCAATCAGATCACGGTTAAGTACAGTTACCCTCTTCCACTGATTGCGACTATGACAGAATCATTACGCGGAGCGCAGTTCTTCACAAAGTTGGATCTCAGGAGCGCGTACAATCTGGTGCGCATTAGGGAGGGGGATGAATGGAAAACGGCATTTAGCACCACCTCGGGTCATTACGAGTATCTCGTCATGCCATACGGGTTAATGAATGCTCCTTCAGTCTTCCAATCCTTTGTTGACGAGATTTTCCGGGACATGCATGGGCAGGATGTGGTAGTGTACATCGACGACATCCTAGTGTACTCTTCTACACGAGCCGAGCATGTAGCCCTGGTGCGCCGAGTGTTGAGAAGACTGTTGGAGCATGACTTGTATGTCAAGGCAGATAAATGCCTGTTCTTCCAGGAGTCCGTCTCCTTTTTGGGTTACCGGTTGTCCGCGTCTGGTGTGGAGATAGAGGTAGACCGTGTGTCGGCCGTGCATAATTGGCAAACTCCAACCACTGTAAAAGAGGTGCAGCAGTTCTTGGGTTTTGCTAATTACTACCGGAGGTTTATCCGGGGCTTTGGACAGGTTGCAGCTCCCATTACGTCCCTGCTAAAGGGGGGTCCGGTTCGTTTGCAGTGGTCAGCTGAGGCGGACAGGGCATTTGTCAAACTGAAGAACCTGTTCACCTCGGCCCCGGTGCTGGCGCATCCGGATCCCTCTTTACCATTCTAAGTAGAGGTAGACGCGTCCGAGACCGGTATTGGGGCAGTCCTGTCACAACGGTCCGGCACGCCACCTAAGCTCCGCCCCTGTGCGTTCTACTCCAAGAAGCTCAGCTCGGCGGAGCGCAATTATGACGTTGGGGACAGGGAGCTGTTAGCTGTAGTCCAGGCCCTAAAGGTGTGGAGGCATTGGCTTGAGGGGGCTCAACACCCTTTCCTCATTCTGACTGATCACCGTAACCTGGAGTACATCCGGGCAGCTAGGAGATTGAACCCTCGTCAGGCTAGGTGGAACATGTTCCTGACCCGGTTTGTTTTTAAGATCACATACATCCCAGGGTCCCAGAACGGTAAGGCAGACGCCCTGTCCCGGCGGTATGACACAGAGGAGAGGGCCATTGAGCCTACTTCCATCCTGCCGGAGTCTTGTCTGGTGGCTCCGGTGGTATGGGAAGTCGATGCAGAAATCGAGCGGGCACTGCGTACCGACCCTACTCCCCCCCGAGTGTCCTGTGGGGCGGACGTACGTTCCGCTCGAGGTTCGTGATCGTCTTATTTATTGGGCTCATACATCACCCTCCTCTGGACATCCAGGTATTGGCCGGACAGTGCACTGCCTTAGCGTGAAATACTGGTGGCCAACGTTAGCTAAGGATGTGAGGGTTTATGTCTCCTCCTGCTCGGTGTGCGCCCAGTGTAAGGCGCCTAGACATTTGCCCAGGGGTAAGTTACATCCCCTGCCCGTTCCACAACGACCATGGTCCCACCTCTCGGTGGATTTTGTAACCGACCTACCCCCTTCCCAGGGGAATACCACCATTTTGGTCGTTGTGGATCGGTTCTCCAAGGCCTGTCGTCTCCTCCCAATGCCGGGTCTCCCTACTGCCCTAGAGACCGCCGAGGCCCTATTTACCCACGTGTTCCGGCACTATGGGGTCCCCGAGGATATTGTGTCTGACCGAGGTCCCCAGTTCACCTCCAGAGTCTGGGGGGCGTTCATGGAACGCTTGGGGGTCTCGGTGAGCCTTACCTCGGGGTACCACCCAGAGAGCAATGGGCAGGTTGAACGAGTCAACCAGGATGTGGGTAGGTTTCTGAGGTCCTATTGCCGGGACCGGCCGGAGGAGTGGTCTAGGTATATCCCCTGGGCAGAGATGGCCCAGAACTCTCTCCGCCACTCCTCCACCAATTTAACACCTTTCCAGTGTGTTTTAGGGTATCAGCCGGTCCTGGCACCGTGGCACGAGAGCCAGATCGAGGCCCCTGCGGTGGACGAGTGGATTCGGCGCTCGGAGGAGACGTGGGACGCTGCCCATGTCCATCTGCAGCGGGCCATCCGTCAACAAAAGGGGAGCGCCGATCGCCACCGCAGTGAGGGACCGGTGTACGCACCGGGAGATCGAGTCTGGCTCTCGACTCGAAACCTGCCTCTCCGCCTGCCCTGCCGGAAGCTGGGTCGGCGGTTTTGTGGGGCCCTTTAAAGTCCTGAGAAGATTGAACGAGGTGTGTTACAGGTTACAACTGCCTATTGAGTACAATAATATTAACCCCTCGTTCCATGTGTCGCTTCTCAGGCCGGTGGTAGCTGGCCCACTCCAAGAAGATGAGATAGGAGAGACCCCTCCGCCCCCTTTGGACATCGAGGGGGCCCCGGCGTACTGGGTCCGGACCATCTTGGACTCGAGGCGCCGGATGAGTGGTCTCCAGTATCTCGTGGAGTGGGAGGGGTACGGTCCGGAGGAACGGTGCTGGGTGCCTAGGAGGGACATCCTAGATCCATCCCTCCTGACTGAGTTCCACCGTGGGCATCCCACGCGCCCGGGTCCGCGTCCTCCTGGCCGTCCCCGAGGCCGGGGTCGGCGCACGGCTGGAGCCGCGCGTCAAGGGGGGGGTACTGTCACGGTTTCGGCCGAGACTGCTCCTCCTCCCGGTTCGGGCAGGCTTCGGCGTTCGCCGTCCCTGGAGTACTAGCTGCCACCGTTGAATGTTTCGTGGTGTGATTGCTTTGGTCTGTCTTGTACACCTGTGTCTGTTTGTGTTCTGATTACGTGTCCTATAAGTTCCCTGTTTTGTATTGGTTAGATTGTGTGTTGTTGTCTGCCTGTATTTCGGAGCTGCGTGTTGACGCTCTGTTTGTTTGTTTAGTGTTTACGCATGGTTTACGTATTCACTCGCCTCTGTTTGTTTCGAGGCCGTGTATTGTATTTTTGCACTTTTGACTAGTAAAGTCTGTTGGACGAAGCCTCTGTGTCCTGCGCCTGACTCCTCCACCACATCCACATCGGTTCATCTGACACTCTCCATCAGAAAGCCCCTATTGGCTCAGAGCAGTAAGCCCAAAATTATTGCTAGAATGTGGGTTAAGCTATTTATT